CATGCTTATAGTTATTTGAATATGTACATAATTTTGGTAGGGTCCTTAGAAGGGATATGTAGTGCTTAAACTTAAAATGATGAGCAGGATATATTATTAAAAAAAAACTTATATTTATTGGTTTTTAGGCTTGTGCTGACCCTTGGATTTAGATGAATGGTCTTAAAATATGAAATATTTGCTATATATGATATGCTTTACACAAATTCTTCATTAATTTCTTACATAAAAATAAAAAGAAATCCATTTCAAGATGAGATATAAATAATGCAATTTATTTAAATATGATAGCATGATAAACAAGGTAAAGTAGGCTGGGATTTCCTACCTGAGATCTAAGAGATTTACCTTCAAAGCTATCTTGAACGTATTCCTCGTCTCATAAAGCTTAAATCGTCCACAGTCATTAATCAACCCAACAACATCTACATTTTGCACGAATTGCTAACTATCTTATAGTTCATAAGATATTGTTGATTACAAACAAAGTAAATTGATGAAAATTTTACAGTTACCTCTTAAGATATTATTGGATGGTTCTTCTTTGACTATCTTATAAAGAGGCAAGGTGTCATATACGTTCCGTGGGATATCACTTCCTTCATATATGATGACTTGGGTAAATCTGTGAAATGTGATAACATAAGGGTGATCACAAGGCATAAAATGATTGTAGTAGTAACTACTAATTGCGTTAAATCCCTCAAAGTAGTAGCATTCTCCCTCTCTAACAGTCATCCGGAATTTGTTTAGCATATCTTTCTCAATGACAACGGCCTGGATTTTTGTTAACTGTGAAATATAGACATCATAAATATTACAAGATTATAAAAGTATGAATGCGAACATAAATAAGCAAAGCCATACCTCCCTGTCCATTAGAATAAAGTTGAGGGTTTTGTTTTACCCTCGTGTATATTGAGCATCATTGAATACTTGAACGACGGAGACACAAGTGAGTTTGGTGAGGCAGTTTGAATCTATACTTGTGAGAGGTAGGTCTATCACGTTATCTATTGCCTATTGTTATGTGTGAGTAGAAGAAACTATATGAGAATTGAGAGATTCCATCCCCTGTGATTCTTTTATAGACTTTGTATATATAGGGTGCTATTCGTAAGGGATATCATGGAATGTTGGCTTATTTGTATGCCCATTAACTAGCTCACTTGCCGTGATTGAAAACATGGATCTAAAATGTTGAGTAGTGCATTATTTTTCTATTTTTTACGTAAACAAAATTCGTGACACATCCATACACATAAGTCACCTTATATTCCATATAAAAGTTTCTAATTCTAATTCCTCCCTATCATCACAAATCATGGCACGTATATCGGATGGAAGTAATTATTTATTTATACAAGTAGTTTTGGGTGGTTATGTAATTTCGATTTCAATTTAAGAACATGGAGATTATGTGGGATTTCAAATTCGATTATACTGGCCATGATGTGGAGTACATATTTTCAATTTTGCATTAATTTCTTAGTATTATTTAGTATTAATTTTGCATGGAAGTGAGTTTAGATTCTTTAAACTATTATAATGTAACTAATAAAATAAAATAGATATTGGTGATAAATAATTGGGAAGCGTTCAGTTGTTTAATATTTATATATTAAAATTTTTAATTTTGAATAAAACAAATACAAGAATTTAGAATTATAATTATCTGTGTATGTAGATTATTTTTTTTGGCCATAAACAAAATTGGTTAACACGGCTGGTTTTAGAAATAAATAAAAACTATAAAGATTTTTTATTTATATTCAATTTATTATCATATTTATGTAACCTATATCCGATATTTATGCTTTGTGGTTAGGGTCGTGGTTTAACTAATATTGAGATGAGAGCGAACACAAGGTCCAAGGAACTACGTTAACTGTGATATGGGAATGGATGCTTTTGACCTAAGTTTTCTTATTTAAATCATTATTTTCATCATAAAATATATTTACTCATAGTTAGAGAGAGAAAAATAAGTTAATAGCATTTAAAGAGACTTGCATGCAATGTTGTTTCTTCAAATTTTTAATGCTTAGAGTTCATTATTATATTTACAACCAAAATATTTAATATTTATTTTACATTTTAGATTCAGAATAAAAATCTTGAATAAATAATTTAAATTTTAAATTAAGAATAACCTAAAAATCAAATAACCATAATATATGATCTCATTTTTTATTTTAAATATACATGTAGGATCTTACATTTAGAACATGAAGCAATAACTAAGAAAAAATAAACACAGGTCCCATCCAATAATGATTTCTAATTTACATTGTTGATGGCAGTTGTCAAATTAAATTATACAGGTGTATCTTAAATCTCAAATTGAGAAAAAAAAATCTAAAAATTAAATAACTATTTATATATATATAAGTGGATACCTAGTCTTCTACCAAAATTGAGTGCTTCAGTCATGTTTATACATAACAATATTAAGTGAAGTCAATTGATCTTTGTAATGACATATGGTTAATTGTGATTATATTAGTAAAACATGTTACAAGAGCACCTATAGAACATTTAAGAGCAATGATGCTCTGAATATTTTGAAAATAGTGATCTTAAATGATAGAAATGTCACAAAAAAAAAACTTTCAATATTACTTACAAAGAAACTTTTTATAATCTTATATCTTGAGCATATGTATGAATTTTCTTTTTTGATGACATAAGCAAATATATCAATTTAACTAATTTAACTAGTCACTATATAGTGATTGAACTTTTTATGCTATATGAAGAAATACTACAAATAAAAACTAAAGTAAGTGTAGGGTTCTGCTTATTAAAAAAAAGGGGAAAAAAACACGTGTTGGGCTAAAAACTTGTGTTAAATGTTATAAATTGACTTATTATACTTCTGAATATGAAAGCAACATCTTGATAGCATTCTGAGTAAGTTCTCGACCTTAAGTTCGCTTGAAGAAAGGTGTGATATGGTAGTTGCTGAATTTTCTACAAATCATAAGTAAAGTTTTAAAGAAACGCTAATTTAATGTCTCGTATATACCACATTAAACTCAGGCAATATATATATATATATATATGTATATATATACACACCCCATTAAACGGGGTGTTAGAACGTTACCCAAAAAAAAAAAGGAGTTAAAAGCTCGTATTACATAGGCTTTTATAGGGTTAAACAACTCATAATAGTGTGTTTGATGTATAGATATAAAGTTAAGGTGTAATTTTTTTTTTGTTAATAGGTTAAGGTCTTAAAATATTTTTTCAAGCATATTAATCACTTTAAATCATGTAGTGTCACATTTGAAATCCTGAAATTTGAAGAATATTGCTGTTAAACTTCAATAAATTTGAATGTTGGTAAAAAAATTTATAAATAAAACTTGAAAATTATAAGTACACCCTCTATAAGAAAATAGAGTATCGATTAGGTCTCACAAAATAATAAATAAATGTAAGAAACTAGCGTTTGTTTTTAAAGCAAGAAATCAAAAATGCCATTTTAACTAAACTATCAATTGATTATTGGATCACCACTGTAAAGATGGTTGGGTTGAAGCATTATATTCCTTCAAGTAAAGGAAAGACAAATGCTATAAACGTTGTGATTGCTAGTCAAGCAGGTCCAACAATGGTCTTTTATATGAATTTTGGTTGTTTGGTCTATGATTACGGGTGGAGGTCTCTAATGTGCCTTTTTTTTTTTTTGGTGAACGCCTTTCTTTAAGACTCCCTAATACTCTTTGTAATAGTTCAATTTTTAAAATTTTCTTCTTCTTTCTTTTGATCATTAGATTTTACATATAATTAATAACATTTTGATATTTTATGGGAATGATGTGGTGCAATTTTGAATTTTTATATTTTTTGAAAATAAATCAAAACTACACAATTTGGCGTATTTTTCTTTGAAAAATAAAAAAATTAAAAATAAGATATCAAACTATTACTCATTTATGTAGAATCTAAGTATTAAAAGGAACCAAAAAAAAAAAAAGAGAAACATTTCAAACATTGGGACTTCAGGGGCACATTAAAGGCCTTAAAGCCCCATGGCCACCCAAGTTCCATGAGAATTACATCTTGAAATGTAGTATTTCTTCTGGTCCTTAATATAAGAACTCATTTGATTTTTATTTTTATTCTAAATATAAGATCCCAATATATTTTGTCTTTCATATTTATTTATTTTTTCAAAGATAGTCCTTGTAATAATAGTAGTTTTAACCAATACACTTGATTAGCAAGAATATTTTAGAAAAGATAACAACTATTTATTACAAATTAGTCAATTTACTTTTATATTAAAGACCGGATGTAGTATCTTTGGTTTTAATTATAAGATATAGTTTTTTTATTATTTAATTTTGTTTGTGATGGTGGTGGGCTTAAATCTGTTATGATTATTGATATTATGAAAATATGTATCCATTGGTTTTTGAAGTTAACCTTACTTTTTTCTTTCATGGCCTTCTAGGAGAAAAGAACTCAGTGCAGGTATATATGCTTTTTCATAGAGAAGGAGTTCATCCTACCTTCTGGCTGTATAGTATTCGGATGAAATAAATATGTCATTTTATAATATACAAAATAAATACGTGGATGAGTTTGTTTCAATTTGTGAAAAAAGTATTTTTTAAAAACACTTTTGAGGTATTTGGAGTACCCCTGAATTTTTTTTTCTATACTTTTTTATTTATCATGAAAATTGCAAAATCACACAATACAAAAAGAGGTTTCTTTTATACATATATATATTCGAGGGTATTTTGATCTTTTACATTTTATTTATCCCCACAATTTTCTTAATTTCCATTATACCAAACATTATTTTGCAAAATATTCCCCCCCCCCCAATTCCTTCTCAATAAAAGTCTTTCCTTTGAACACAAATCAAACAAAGCCTTAAGAACGTAGAGTTCTTATGACATTTAGCATTTGCTGGTATTTCATTGGCTTCAATCTGCTTCCCCCCCCCCCCCCCAAACAAAAAAAACAGAATCAAATCTTTTTTTTTCCTAAAAGGAAAATGAGGGGAGCCTGAGTCGCTGACCCTAGGTCAGGCTCGCTCTTGTGTCTTCTGTTTCCACGCCATCGCCCCGAAGTATGGAGTGAGGCTGATTCCTCTGATCAGCTCGCGCCTTCATTCTCTTCTTCTGAGAAAAATGTCTCATCTCATCTCGAAACCCACTTCCAGATCACTACTGACTAGGCTCTTTTACCTCAATTCGCTTCCTCGTTGTCTCTGCACATCCACCCAAGAGAGTCGAACCCAGAAGCTCGAACGAATCGCCGATGAGCTTCTTGGCCTCAACAAGCTGGAAAGGTACGACTTTACGATTCTTTGGAGGCTTAAGATGGGTCTCAACAGGTACGGGCCAGCCGTAACAGGGCTCGGTTTATCGGGTTCTGGTTCAGCTGGAACTGGGTCTGGCTCGGCGGATGCAAAGGCGGCGGTGGCGGAGAAGACAGTGTTTGATATAAAGTTGGAGAAGTATGATGCTGCGGCAAAGATCAAGATTATCAAGGAGGTAAGAGCTTTTACTGATTTAGGATTGAAGGAAGCTAAGGATTTGGTGGAGAAAGTTCCGTGTGTTTTAAAGAAAGGAGTGACAAAGGAGGAGGGTGAATCTATTATCGAGAAGCTCAAGGGGGTGGGTGCTTCTGTTGTACTGGAATAATCTCAGTTTTGCTTCTGTAATGTAGCTTTTGATTCAATTTTTCAATAGAATTATGATTTGTTTTGGCCAATGATCAATGAAAAATATATCTTGCTTCCTCAGGTTAGTCGATGTTTTTTGTTCAATAAGATTCTCCATGTTAATTGATGTCAAGTATTGACATTTTATTAACTTTCTTCTGACAAGTTTGGTTACTACTTGAGTGACGATAAAGATGATTGCATCTTCTAAGTTAAAAATCTCCTTTGTGGATCTTTAAGTAATTAAGTGCTGTGTCAATAATCCGCATTGTAATTTTTGTCTGAGTTGATTGGTTTGGTTCATTTCAGAGAGAGTTTAGGTTGCTGTGCCAATGAATATGTAGTTTTACTTGTGCATAGACGAGGTGAGGCCTACAAGTTAGTTTTACATTGGATTTGGTTTTTTAATGAACTGACTGAAGAAAAGTAAGTGATGTATATAGATAATGAGAAATTTCTATTTGCACTTTGCATCTGTTTTATTGTATTAATTGCTAAAGTTAAGGTGTGAAGACCAAATGATGTAGCGCTAATCGAATTTTCTTTAAGACAAATATGGTAGATTGTAAGCTGTTTATCTTGGGCAAATGGAAACATCCTTTCCTGTGTTGATTTATCACAAGGATTCTAGACTTCAAATAAGAAAGATTGATATCAAGTGAACAGGAATAAGTTATTTGGGTAATTAACCCAACAAGTATGGAGGATACTGTTCAATCCATATAATCTTGGTTAGAATAATGAATTACACACGCCACCGTTCATTGGCGTCTTCCAGGGATGTGCTGATCAGAGATCTGTGAACATGGCTAGCTGGGTGGTGTTTTCCCATAGTGCTTCTTTTTCGCAACCCTAAGACGCCCTCAAGCTTTCTGTTTTTTTCAGACACTCAAAAAAGACAAACCTATCTTCAAGCCTAGCTTTGATACCTTGATGAATTTTGGGAGAAAAAAGTATTTCTTATTCATTTCAATGGAAGGATGCATACAAATATATACACAAAGGGAAAAACAAGAGAGTAAAGGCTAATGAAGGCTACTATAAAACCAGAAAACTATTTACAATAAAAACAGAACATTCCCACAATAAGATTACATTGAAGCATCAGCATTACAAGACAACAGGCTGTTCTCCTTCAAGCTCAGAAATAACTATTAGTGAGTCTGTCATTTCAAGAGAGAGGGGTTGTGACTTTGGGACTGGGTTAATAAACTGCAGAGATGAAAATTTATATTTAACATGCTTGTTTGGATGGTTCAAAATAATTAAGGGTATGTATCTTTTATCATATTTTAACAGCATACCTCCTTGTTATTTTTCACATAGCCTATGGCTACTTCTCTCCGTAGATACGCTCTCTCAGAGAGCTCCCAAAATGATGGATTCTCTCCTTCTTTCATATAAAGGCTGATATCCTGTCACATGAAACAATGGCAAGTAACAGCTGAAGTGCAGACTTATTACAGAGATTACTCACTGTTGGCCTTTGGCTTCACAATCCAGATTAAATAATCAACATTAATATCAATATGCAATATAAAATTTATAGTAGGTTGCACAGTGTACAAATTATAAATACTATGGTCAGTGTTTAAATTCTGTACAATGTATAGCAGACCCATCTACTTTAAAAAAAAATCTTATAAATGAATTGTGTAAGGAAGATAAGGTTAAAAAAATGCTGATAAACTCGGACTGATTTAGAATAATAAGGATGAAGGAAGGAATTTATCTTTGAAACGGGACAATATCAAATAAAATTTGCATAAAATGAGAAGTTTAAAGGACGAAGAGAATTAAGACTGAAAAGGCTCAGCAGTCATAATGATTCATGGATACTAAGGTATTGCAAAAGGAGTATATTATTACCTTCACATATATTTCATCACCCTCTGCATTTAGTACGTCTTTCCAAACTTCATTAAGTTCGCTGTCCTCCGCTACTGCTTTGCAAATACAGAAAATAACTTTCGGAGCTCATTGACTTAACAAATGGATCACTTAAAGTAAAGCGTAGCTTGTAAAATAAGAGAACAAAGATTATATGACCTTGAGCTGTGACAAGGCTCATTAATTCCTCTGCTGCAATATAGGTCAGTGATGGATTGATTCTAGCAATCTGCGGCATTTTATACAGAAGCACGATCAATTCCCGTAGTCCAATCTAAATTTTGAAAATTTGAGAAAACTAAGAAATTTAGGGTATTACTTGTTCCCCCAATTTTGAATCAACAATCTCTGCAACTAGATTATGCACCTGCAAAATAGCAATTTAAAGAACCAAGTTATTCCTTCCGATCTCATTATTATAACTACTAACTAGTGTCAAATAAAGAATGATTCCGTGTACATGGCTTAGAAATTCATATCATTCAAATTTTAGTTGGGTCCCAAACGTAAAATTTATCACCTTCACTCCAAGTTTTTTGCAGATATTTTCTGCTAGTAGGATAGAATAAGCAGAACACTTATCTGCCTTAGATGGATCTGCAGAGAGAATAGCCAATAATCAATAGCAGGTTATTATCTGCCACAAAAACTGACATGCATCATTACCTCCAAGAAGCCATCTTCTGTCAGATATAACAGCAACTGACAAAGGAATATCTTCATCACCAAGAGATTTCTGGATATTCAGAAGGGTCTGCTTTAAGGTATCATAGTCCAAAGGATTTCCAATCTACAGAATATGAATGACGTGAATAATCATAAAAGTAGAAAAACCACAAAAGGAAAATTCTGGTAAAACAGTGACTGAATACCCTGTGAGAAATTTGAACATTCTTGAGATTACTTTGACCACAATTGTTGTTGGCCCTAATCCTGTCATCTATTGGTGCATCTGATAATATTTCCTGCATATTGTTCAAGAAATGAATTTTGAACTCAGAATGAATGCATAGACAGTCCAGAAAATAGAAGTCGCACTTAATGTACACAATCAAAAACTCTACCATTTCCTTTGATATGCATTTTCGGGGGCTCACATTTAATATTCTTTCAGACCATCAAGACAGTGCATTTTTGGTTAATGCTTATATGAAAAATAAATCTCTTTTTTTTTTTTTTTTGGGTTAAAGCTTATATGAATGCATAGACAGTGCATTCTTGCCATCGAAGTTTCAATACATTGACAATGTCAGAAAACATTATAGATGCTTGGATTTATAGATGTGGTCCTGATGGCAGTGGCAACAAAATGACGCCAGTCAATTGTCAATTTTTCAAGACGTGTGAACAATCAATCAATTTTCATTTTTTCACAAAATATCTTAGCCCTTAAACTTTTTTCACTGGTACATTAGTCAGTAGTATAAAGCAGATATGTATTAGCAATAAGGAAATAAAGCTTGTATGCCCGTCAGCCAAAAGTTATATTAAATGTATGTATTTATTAAAGTTCAAGCTTCAGTACTGGCATTGAAGATTGCGCACGGTTTTAAATCAAGAAATCATGCAGGACATGAAGTAAACACGAATAGAAGTAATCAGTTCATATGTATAAAATCATACCACAGCACTTCCTGGACCAAGATAGTTATCGTACTCTTCAATCATATCTACAACATCAGGGCGCCACCCAAGTAAAAGAATACACTCTTTCGGTCCCAGATTTTCATCTGATGCCTGCATGATGATCAGTAATAAATGCAAAGATCCTAAATAAATGGGATTCAACATTAATCAGAACATTTTTCCAATGTTGTGTCCTACCTTGGAACCCGATCTTTTAGAGCGCTTTACAATATTAGCTAGTCTCATTTTACTCAATTGTATGGCATGCTCGACATCCTCTTCTTGAATTTCTTGGTCATGAATTCCATGAATTCCTTCTTTCTTGTGTGGGTGTGCATGTGCCTTTTTATCACGAAAGGATCCAATCAATAATACCTAAATGAGGGAGGCTTAGTGACATCAGAGAATATTCAAGCAAACCTTCTGAAATTAATTGATTGCAAAACCTTAAGAAACAGAAAAAGGTGAAGACCATATTGTTTTGATATCAAAGTAACAACTGAAAATTACCAGAGACACTTCAGATCCGGATGGAATATAAATTGGATTTAGTTATGAGCTAGTCTACATACTTTATCAGTTTGCTGCAGGATTTCACTATCATTTGGATGGAAGTTTATCCTTTCATTCCGATAAAGACCGCAGACAACTGCCTGAAACAATATGAATGGAGAGAGAATTTATGCTAGCAAATTGATGTGAACAATAAATGGTGGACGCAGCCAACAAACTTACATTAATTACCTCTTGAAATGCATGTCTTACTTTCCTATAGGTCATTCCTTCTATGTTAGGTAAGGTGCAAAGATTAAATACATCTTCTGGATAAAGCAAAAGTTAAAAGTTAAATTTCATGGACATGGAAAATTGGTATGTTAGGTTAATAAAGAAAATAACAAGCTACTTTCTAAATATGGGGTCATCAAATAGGGAAATGTTTCATTTACCTCACCTTACACTAGCCAAGCGACAACAAGACAATAACTTTACTAAAGCCAAATGGAAAGAAGGGAAAGGAAAGTTTATTTTGAGAATTTGCATAAAAAATGACCAAACTTCAACGAAATGGTGCAATCGAGTGATTTTGCAACTTTAGCCCACATTACTCGAAGACAATTTGGTCCTCTTTGAGTAATTTGCTCAATTTAGGTTGAGAATAAACCATATATAAAACACTAATACAGAAAAGTTTAAGTATTAGGTCAAAGAAGGAATTCTGACAATTGACAAATATGATACGCAGAAAGTATGCTATACTTCGAGAATTTAGCAAGTGTCTGTAGATCTTTGTAAGCTCCTTCTGCCGAGAGCATTGGACAAATAATTTGGATGCAACATTTTCTACCGGCTCTACTTTCAATCCTGAGATATATTTTAAGAGCTCACATGTCTTAGAACTTGAAACCTGCATTCATTAGATTAGACAAACTCTTATGCGCACAGCATTTGAATTTTATATTCTTCATTTTGTTTCAAGCTGAATGTACACAACATACTTCAACAATGGTGGGGACAGAATCCATTTTTGGAATTGGTTGAAGGGCTAAAACAGATAGAAAAGCATCTGTGTCAACTTCATACCTAAGATATCAAAGATATGGAATCAGTAAACTTCATTACAGTGATATTCAGAATACTGTTGAAAGACAATAAAGATCGACGTAATTAGTTTACTTTGCAAAAATAGCCTAAGCTGCCACGTGATCATCCTGGAGCCAGTCATTGGGTAATGTTTTACACTTAACAGATAGAAAATAAGCCCCTCCTTGCTGATAGAAGGGATTTTAGCAGTAGCCCCAAAAAGTTCATTCTGAATTATTTTCTTACAGACTCAAGTCAGGTCTTTGGAAGATCATTTTTCGATAGTAGATTTTTCCTATGCTTCACACATGAATAGGGGTGGAACAAGCTTTTGTCCTTGGTAGGATGTTCAGCAAGGGAATTCCTCTTTCACGAACCTCCTTCCTAATTTTTCCTGTGTGTATGCCTTCTACTGCATCTTAATTATCTACAGCGCAAGGTTCCCACTTGTTTTATTTAAGAATATGAACAACTGTCAGACTTTGAACTTATTTTATTCGTTCGGCATCTTGGTCTTTTAGCTGTAAATGTTAATTTTGTTTTGAACCTTTCAACTCTTCCTCATGACTCAGCCCTTAAAGCTTTTATTTAGAAAGTAAAAGCTCCTTCTATGCTTAGTACTTTTTCTTGGAAGATGATATTTTGATACTTGAATAGTTTTCAAATGCATAGACCTCATAAGGTCTTCCATCCCATATATGCGTCATCAGCTACAAAAAAATGAAATTTAGGATGTGTTTGGATTAACGGTGACAGAAGTAACTTTTTTTCAATTTGACTTTTATAGAAATTAGATTGGGTAAAAATCAAATAGTGTAATGTGATTTATGTTTGGATTAACTTTTGTTAAAAAATTAGTTTGAGAAGCTAAAACTTGTTTGGATGATTAATAGAAAAATAAGTTTAGATGTAAAATGACTTAAAAGGACATGAATTTTATTAAGTAATACATATCTAACATTATATGTATATAATGCAACCATTTTAAAAGAAGTATTGAAAATAAAATTATTAAAAATGAAGAAATTTAATTTATTAATAATCTGAACAATATTATTTACTGTGCTGGCAACCGACAAAGCAACTTAGAACAACTTATTCCAGAAATCCATTTTAAGCCAAGAAGTCATGTTGCCAAAACGTGGGCCCAAACACTATTAAATTTCACAACTCCAACTTTTTTATTTGGGATCCACGTTTGGGCCCCCAAACGGCATCCCAAACATACCTTAATAGTCATCTATCCATTATGAAGTTACTCAACATGTTAGATATTGTAGATATCGGATTATTAGTTGACTATTTATTGATTATGTAATAATTAGTTGATTATGTAATTATTAGCTGGCCCAAGGAAATAGGCATAAAAGCATAAGATCAAGGAGGTTTATCCCTTAGTTTAGCATATTCGTCCCCTGACATTTAATTTCCCTTTTGCATAAATATCTCATGTAAGCTGCCTATTCTTCATCTCTTTTCTCATGATATCAAAGCACGAGGAAAACTTGTTTAAGCTACTTTGGCAACCCGGACAAGCTTAAATACAAGCCCATGTGGAAGTTAACATAATAGAATTGGGATAACTTGTTTGGCACTCTCAAAGAACAACTTTGGCCACCCAACTTGGGCATCTGTCTAAATGTTCTGAAGTAAGGAGTGCAAGGTTTGGTTTGAGATTTTTCTGCTGTTTTTGATTTATTTAAGCATAGCGTGAGTGTTTCAATCTGAGATTTGTTCTTTTTTCTGGTTTTTCATTTCTTTAAGAGGACTCCTGGATCCTCCTGTTCTGTTTCCTTAATCAATATAACCTTCTATTGAAAAGGAAGAAGAACCCAAAAGTTGAATTTGTCAATTGCATTATGAAAATAAATTTTAACGAAATCCTCAACAACTTCTAGAATATGTATTTAATAAATTAAAATTATGATCACTGTGCCTAAAATAATTAATATCTACAATTAAGATCGTCGATGCTTTCAATGCATTTTCATGAAAAACTATTATAACTCCTGAACACGCTAAGATGGATTGATAAAAGGAGGCCAGGTAAATTCAAGTGAAATAGCCCAGGAACCACCTTATCAATTTGCATTTTAAGCAGATCAACTATTACCTATCCCCTTTTGTTGGCAGTATAATTATTGCGCGAGCCTGGCTGGCTGCTGCTCTTTCATATGATTCTGTCAAACTAAGACTGCAACTGCAGAGCCATAGAATTTAGATGTGAGCCATAATAGACCTTGAATTGAAAATCATGGTTCACTTTCAATTTTGTTTTTACCAGGATCTCTCATGCAGTACATTAAAACAACTTACCAACAGAACAATCAGTGACTTGTAAAAAAAATGAAAAATTATACACTGTGATGAAAATTAATGGTGCAACTATCTTGATTGGTTCATTTACACTGGAGGAAAGTTGCTCTGATTAACAGTTGAAATTAGTGGGAGTCAACAATTCTAATGTGCAAATTATCCTAAAAATTAAAATGCACACTGGAGCATTCATACCTCATTGTAAGGACATAAATGTGATTTAAACCTTTCACCATTTGTTCAGCTTTTTCATCAATCTGTTTTCTAGGAAGGTCAGACATAAGAAGGATTTTCTGCTTCCTGAATAGGAGTCAATCAGAGTATTACAAGGCCAGCATTTTGAACACAAGTTAATACAACAACCTTATGCGAACTGCTTACCTAGCTGTAGCAGTGCCTAAGCGGACTGCAACTTCATGATGCTTGTTTAGCTGCTTTAATATGAAAGGCAGATGACTATTCATGCCACAAATGATGATATGATCAGTCTCCAAAACTTGCACCTGAAGCCCCTCTCGTAGTCTTTGCATTTTAGTCTGCTTTAAAGACTGGTAATTAAAGGCTTGTACAGAAAATAATTCTTATTTGAACGCGTACTGCTCTGGACCTTACCCTAAATTGTTCGTTCATTGTACTTTGAAGGCGAGAGTAAAACAATATACCCCACATGGCAATAACTACTCCAAGAACACGCTCAACACGTGTTGATTGCTGCAGTCCAGCAAGAAAATCTGTTCTTCAGTAATCGTCAATGCTTATAAAAGGCATAGGGGCAACGAGTCAAATAAAAAAACAAAAAACTAAACAGAGTATGAAATTCACAAGAATTCCAACATACTCTTAAATAATTTGATGGTGAACTAAGGCAAGCCCAGGCTTCCCAGAAGCAGTCCTCTAATGAATGTTTTTGACCCCTGAATGATTTAACATGGGTCCAGGTTAGGAAACATTGTTAAGCGCACTTGCAGTGAAACTAAATACTTGTCTTCCACAATTTAAGGTTGTCATGTCTAAAATTTGGGCCAAAAAGCAAAATGAAAAATGTTGCCAATGGTTGTAAGGATGATCAGATATGTCTTGACGTGTTGGAGTCATAAAAATGTACACTGTATTTTGCATAGGATTAAGAGGGTGAAGCCACTTACACTGCTAAAAATTAAAATCACGAACAATAAACATACTTCAGACAGTGCATATCAGTGATTACCTGAATTTGAAAAACAGGAGACCACCAATAAAAACAAATGAGGAACATGCCACAAGGAGCACCACAAACATCCTGAAAAGAGTCCGTATAGGATAAAGAATATTAGATGTATGGTCCAGTCGACAAAATTTATCAAAATTGCTCAGATAAACAAAGTTCAATCAACAAGATAAGATCAAAATCACCAAGCCACCCCCTCCCAAAAAAAAAAAAAAAAAACGGAAAATGAGTACGGAAAAAGTTTGGGAGAGTTACCATGAGGTCTCAAGAAAGGAATTTAATTGCAAAGAAATCCCAATACCAAGTTACCAGTATGAACACGTTGTCATCTCCTACTTTGTGACTTTTCGTTGTATGCTCTTCACTTGTTAATGGACTTTATGGTAATTAAATTCTTTTTTTGGGACTGATTGTTATTCTCCCAAAAACTTTTATATTCCCTCCCTATTCCTCTCAAGTATCTCTGAATAAATCCATTAAGGCAAATTCTGTTTTGCACAAAAAGGTTGGTTTTCCACATACTGCTTATTATAGATTATTAAGCATAATCAATCCAACATTTGCAATTGTGATTTAACAGAAAACTGTATATAAACATGTGATCAATTAACTGAATAATGAAGTGAATATAGGCTTACGTGGCAACATTTCTCTCAAGTTGGACGTTGTACAAGTATTTCAATCGTTCTATGCTCCAGCTAATATCCTTAAAAGAAGGAAAGTACTCATTTAATCGGAGAGGGCTGGGTTTATTCAAGGTATTAGAGATGCAAGCAAGAGGAAAGCTTGTTGCAGTAAGAGGTTGAAGCATATCTGGAAATATTGCTTGAACGACTTTCAACATCCGGTGAAAAAACATTTGATGTGTCAGTCTTTGTATGAAGAACAATGACAAAGATCGTATCATGGTTTTAGTCCGTGGACCCTGCACATAAGGCAGAATAAGAGAATCAGCAAACACTGTAACTATCACAAGCAGAAGATAATCTAACAAGCCAATTAAGCTGTCATATATACTCAGGAATTCAACAGACTAAGCCGTGATCAACTTTTACCAAAGTGATTGATAATATAATATATTGTTAAGAGACAAATGAATTACGGTTAGTAACCAAACAACTTCTTGTAGGGAAAAATAAGGACACAGATAAGCAAAGCATACAGAATCTGAAATACCATTCCTCCGTGGACCACAAGTTCTAAGAACATCTTGTTAGATAAGTGAAACTTATCACATATTGATGCTGATTGAAACAGATATTTAATGATGTTAACTTTTTGTACGAGTCAAAAAGAAGCGAAACCTGGTCGATCACCACCATCAATTAAGCATCCAAAATGAGCATGTGCATGGGTCTGTCCATTTCAATAAATAGCCTAAACACCTGAGCAGGATTATCACAAACTTATATGCCCTTCATATTTTTAATACTTTTGAATGTGGGACCTCTTTTAAGGCTTATTTCCAACATTCCCTTACGGACGTAAACTAGACTTGGCTCTCCCCCTCCCTCCCTCTCTCTGTGTGAGTCCAGTTATCACTTCCCCTAAACATTCGGGTCTTGTTCTTCATTTTCCAATTGTGGATTTGTAAGTTTGATTCACTAACCCATCATTCATTTAGTTGATCTAGCATTCAAATGTCTAGCCGAATTCTTCCTGAACTTGAGTTCTTTGAGTCTGAAAGGCCTTAAGCCACAACAGTCATCTCCATTACCTGGGCTTGTACGCCTGAACCTCAGAGACCTCAAGTCCGACAATTTCTTTTTTCAATCACTTGATAATTCCTACCTTCAACTTTCTTACATGTAATGTGATTCAAATCATAATGGGCACCTTTTCCTTTTTTAACATATTTTTCTCATGACACCGCACGTCATCACCAAAACTCTTTACTTCGGTGACTCTTTTTTTTTTTGGTCAATTTACTTCGGTGACTCGAAAAGGGGAAAAATGTAAAAAGGCCATTCAATGATTATGCTGTACAGGCTCACAAGATCACCAAAATCTCCGTAAAAAGCGTTATGCAATGATTTTATTCAAGAGTGGGCATTACATACAGCTTTTAACTGCATAATTGGAAAAGATAATATCCAGCACTTGATTCAAAACGTAATTAACTAATTTGAAAAGATTAAGAATAACATATATTACATGGTTTTTCTAAAATATTTATATTAATCATTAGATTATATGTTAATTTATAACTAAAGTAAATTAATTTGACAAAAAAATTAACATAAATACTTTTAAAGTAATTCAGTAATTTTTTTAATTTCCTCATATTAATTAACTAGGTCTTATATTAAGTATTGGAGATAGTATAAGATCTAGTTAACTCATTTGAAAAATCATCAAAACTAAAAAATTACTTTAAAGTAGTTATATCTATCATTTTTCTTCAAACTAATTTGTTTGACTTATAAATTGATATATAATATAATGATCACATAAGTATTTTAAAAAAATCATATAACATATGCTATAAATGAGTAGTTTTTTAATTTTCTGAATCTTCTGAAATTAGTCAAATGGGCCTTATCCTAATAATCGATAATATAAAATTTTGATTCTGGCATGAAGTGAGGAACAAGTTTAGATTGTATTTTCTCATAAAGATCATGTGCACGTAGTCCCGCAAAAAATATTACATTTAACAGGATCTTCTATTCATTGCTGACCTGATTGATATCATCATTTATGTTCTCCATCACAGCGAACTTGCCATCCATGCTTTCTTGAACACTAACATTTGTGTTGAAAGCAAATTTATCTTCGGATCGGTAACAGTGAGCCTCCCATCTACCTGCAAGGATTCAACATAGGAAGTTCAACCTTCAACTTCAGCAGGAAAATAAGAAAGAGACAGTTTAACTTGTAGGTGGCAAGGGCAGTTTAAATCTTTCCACGTAATTTATTTCAACATGAACAAGAAAGAGCATATCATGGGGGACAAAGAGATCGACCAGAAAAGTCAATCCAGTTCCCACAAAAAGATAAGGAAGAGAACAGAATACAAGAGTTGATTAGACAATAAAATTAAGAATCAAAGGAAAACAAAGTAAATCCAAGGCAATTTTGACAAAAGGAAAAGGTGACAATTTATAACCATGTTGTGATGGACAACTCCGTCTCTACATATCTAAAGATCTACACTCTCGGGTTTTTAAAATCAAAGATGGCAGTTGTTTCTAAATAATAGAGGAACGATGAGAAGCTTGCATGCAAGACAAGTGATAAATGAGCTTTTCTGAGATTTTTCTTGATTTCCCTTTTGCAGATCATAAACCTGAGTATAATAAATAGGCAACAATTTTCAGATTTTCTATTGATTGCTAATTAATAATGAGGTACGAATACCATACATCAGTTTATCAGAGAAATCCAACATTATAAATTAATAATGATGCTTTGTGAAATTCAGATCCTGAATAAATTCTTCTTCAAAAATGTAGTGACCGAGAGACTATATGCATTTGGTGCATGTGAGTAGAGAACTGAATCATGAAAACTAAGGAAACAGAGAGACAGAAACCTATTTATCAATTGCAAGAGATACCAATATATTTAAGGCACCACAAAGATAAAGAAGGCATAACAGAATGTACTCCAATTATTGGAAATAACTATGGCAGTGGAAAAAGAACAGTATTAACAATTTCAGTAACGAAATTATTTCTTTTCACTCAGTTCAAAACTTTCAATGATGGATGACTGAGCGAGAACATGTATTCAAGCAAAGGCTTAATGGTTGATTAAGTTCAAGGTTTTCAAGCTCAATAGTTTTTAGATAAAAGCTGAAAAGGAAAACTCAAGCTTCTTTTTTGTTCTTTTCCTTCTTTTCCCTTGGGCACATGAAGCTTACCCTCACTGTTTTCTTTAGGACAACGTGCATGTAGTGTTGAAGATTTGAACAAGCCGTGTCTGTAGAGCATGAACCTCCTGTACAGGTCGCATTAATGTCAATCTCCCAGAGCTCCCACAAAATAAGTAAAAAGTCTTCTAATCCATAAAAATTGTAATATCCTGTCCAACTCCATCTAAATGACAATCAGCCTATTCATTTAACATATCAGCAATAAATAAATCGAAGATAAGTCTATCATTTGGCGAGCTTGTAAGGTATTAGTTCCTTTACCATGAAGTAATGAATATCCATAAAGAGAACATGAGGCCATCATAGTCAACATAAGTTTCCCCACATGAACAAATGAACTATCTGCATCAAATTTACATCATTGATTTATGCCAACATCTTCAACAAGGCTCCTTATGACAGTTCATTTTCATTACTCCTTTACAGAGTAGAGTACTTGATATTACTGCTATTTATATGTTGCAATGCAATCCACTTTATATTTTGCTCCACCAACTCTATATTTTAGTTAAGTCGTGGTTTCTATGGATCAGTGGAGTTCTAAATTTTAGGCGAAAATTATTCATCAATATGTAAATGGCAACGGTACTCTCCTTTCCATTACAACTACAACAAGATATTTCAGGCTTTGACTGTGTTTGGAACCACGTTGGAGTGGTTGCAAAACCACATCTTGTTGCTGCGGTCAAAACCACGTTTGAGAACCTCTCCAAGTGGTTCCAAACACACTCTTCATGGTTGAGTATAACTTAGTTTCCTTTCAAGTTAAAAGTTGAAGCTAGTTTGAATTTCCCAATAGTGAGAGTAACCTTTCTAATTTGAGGCTGTGAGATTAATTGAGTTACAAGGTATATTCCTCACCCTCAATTCAGGCCCTGAAGCTTGAAGCTATTAACAATGTTGACTAGTCAACTATGCAATACTGAAAATCTCTTAACCTCTTAGTCCCATATGCATGCTCCTTCCAAAAAGAGAAAAAAGGGCCACAAACCAATTATCTAAGCTTGGAAGTTTAAAGTTTGAGAAAGTACCAATTGCTATGAATTGAAGATGAGAATTGATGACGGGTTCTTGGAACTCGAGAAGGAGGACGCCATGGCTGTGCACTGTGCAAATGAGCGATACTCATCACGCTTTCTTCTTCCTTCTCAGTTTCCCACAATGTGAGAGAGAGGTTGAAACGAGAGCAGCATGCAGAAGCGATCATTGGCAAAAATGGATGAGCAAATGAAGTTATATAGTGACAATGGTGGAGATGATTGTGCATTGAGAATCATGATTGAGAGGAAGAAAACAAAAAGGAAATAGTACGTGAAAGCGAAAGCCGGGTAGACAAAGAACAACACAGAAGCCATCAACATCTTGAGAAGTCCCTACACCGTAATTATGGGCTTTTGCTGTGAACAATAACAGACTCGATACTCTATCTCTCTTTTTGCCCAAAAAAATAGATATTTCAATCTGCCGATCACTACCAGAACCACCAGCCCAACATCTCACCTTGAGAGAGTGCGGGTCTCTGCGAGCACGACGTACGAGATCATTAGGCATTATTAGCCAGCTGTTTGGATAATTGTCACATAATTATCAAATAATGAAAGAACAATGAAGTGATATAATATGACGCCAATCCCATCACTGACACAACTTTACGACTTTATGACATATTCTTCTAAAAGATGACCCCATCTCGTGATGCACGTGCCCATATAATAATGGTAAGTGGTTTCTTCAATTTTTGTAGTCTTCCAGCTGATTGTTCTTTGGCTTTTAAGATTTAACGTTGCTAGTACTACTCAAATTGATACTGGGTTGTTGGGTCTGGTGCGTATTGTTAAATGGAGTTGTATACCAAAACGATCCTTTAGACCCTTTTTGAATGGTTAGGAAGGGGAGAAGAAGAGAGCTCCATAAGCAAAGTTCTGATAGCAGAACTGGTGAAGCCTCAAATGGAAATGATCACCAATGTTTTGGGATATATTGTGAATTGAAATGGGGTGTTGATGCTGGCTTTATGTATTGTTAGATTGAATTTGCCTGTCCTCAGTTGATTCAACCAGTGGAACTTGAGTTTTGTTGCCTCCAAGGGGAAAGCTTGAATTCAATGGAAGAGTTTATCTATCTTGGCAAAGCTCTCTGCTGTTGTGGCATTGGGTGGATTCCAAGAAGTCATTTAGCTACATGTTAGGGTGTTTTTGCCGCTCTTACTGAGGAAGTGCTTGAAAGACTGAGTGTTACAACTCCTTTCTCCTTTGACATTTACCCCGGTAGAAGATTTGAAGGATGCTGGGGACTCATGTTAGCATGTATTGGTTTTTTTATGCTTTTTGTTTCTTTAGTGTTCTTTCTTTTGTTTGCTGGTGGACAATGGTTTGCTACTTTTCTTTGAGTTTGGTTGTTGATTTTGGTTTTGGTTTGTGAAGACTATTGGTTGTTTCTTTAATGAAAATATATCCACATATTTTAAACCAAACAAAAAAAAACAAAGGGGGTTTTATCAACCAAGACATTTTTTTTAAAGAAGTTAGGAATCTTGTTTATTGTATTGTCGGCACCAAATATGTGTACTTTTTTGAATGAGAATTTGAATATTAGTTCGTCATATTATGAGGGATCTATCCTTTTTGATAGACTCAATCCAATCCCTATTGATAAAATTACCACCTTTCACCAATAATACTTATACAATAGAAGATATTTTAGCACATGTTCATGTTATAATTGATCATATTATAAAGAATTTCTGTCTTTAGGTTGATTTTTGTAATTAAATTCTCCTTAACACGTTCTTGTATTTGAATATCTCTCTTTTAAATGAAATTTCCTTTTTTACTTAAAAAAAAGAACTAATATCTTATTTGAATCATCTAGATTTGATTTGGAAAGAACAGAAGAAAGAGCATGACATGGCTCTAACTAAATAAATATGGAAAAATTTTGTCACATACAAACATTATAACTAACACGAGTCTAAAAGGATCATGAGTTCCGGTCTCGAATTTTATGAACTTATTTGAACTAACATTTGCAAAAGTAATTTTTACTCTAGATATGAATATTATGTGTGGTTGGGTTGGGGGAAAAAAAGGTCTCTTCTCTTCATTCTTATGGACAAACGTCTTATTTAAGGTGTGGTTCATGTCACTAGGCTCGTTTCATGTCCAGGCCTATAAAAAATGGTGTTTGCCAAGGAATAAAAAACCACTCTTGAAGTCCTCAAGTGCTCCTTTTTCTTCTAAACTCTTTTTATTCTTATTGAGTTCTTTATCTTTTGTTGTTCTATCACCTCATATTCTTACAGGAACGTTCGTTTCTTGAATGATGATGGAAAATTTTTCATTCTTTTATTTATTGAAGTTATTTTGATTTTTCAGGGTAAGACGAGCAAATCTAGCATCAATGTTGCTCCTATGATCGTGAAGCCTAACTTTAATCGGGCACTGAAGTTTTTTAAATATGAGTAGCGAAACACTTGTAAATTCAAGTTCTACGTCTAGTTCATCTGGAGGAAGATATCATTGAAATTTTGCCATATATAATTGGTTTCAGAAAATTAAAAAAGCATGGACCTGATAATGCCTAAATCTGAAGGCAGAAGATGACGATCGATGCTTGTGATGTCTGTGGCAAGATTAGAATACCAGCTCACAAGTATAAAGCAAGAACGAGTTTGGAGAACTCTCAAAAGCAAGAAACTTGAGCAGCATCGGGAATGCCTTTGGGAAGAAATAACATGTTCTAATATGCAATCCGTACTGTTGCAATGTACCCAGTCCACCCTTGGTGGATTAGAAGCCAGTACAAGTTGGGGCTATCATGTGAATATGGAAAATATGGGTCCATAAGAGAAAGTTTGTATAATTTTAAAAAAATTAAAACTTATGGCCATGCGACCCCACGTATAATTTTCATGGGATATAGGATTAGAGAGGGTTGGTTAGATGCATGAAAAATATCCCTTATTAGTGTACTCTACTCTCTTCTGGATTGGTGTATTTGTTGCGTAACTTGATGAAAGTCTTTATCAGTGTTTTGATTTTGTATGGGCATTTCAATGAGTCCATCAAATTCTAGGTACATCTGAAATCTTTGACACATATATTGTATTAGAATAACCAATTCAAGCAATAATTGTGACACTTCAAGAAAGAACATTCATATATGGTAAAAAAAAAAAAAAAAGAAGAAGATATAATGATGGAATTTGCCAGCTTCCCACTTTTAATCTTCTTTTGCTAAGTGGTCATTTGCCAACTCTTACTTTGCTTATTGCCGAAATAAAATGATAGTTAACAAATATTACCTCTGGTTTTAAATATAAAATCTAGTTTGTAACTCTTATTCTGTAGTATCAATTTTTTCATAGGGGGCTCTACCATTTTTAAAGCACCTATTCGCAATTTTTCTCCCTCTCCACTAGCATACAAATTGGAAGTTTAATGGAGATGTAACCTTGCACCACATTCAATTTTGAGTTGACCAATGTCTTCGGAAAAATAATTCAGTACAATTTGATAGGCACCTAAACTTGTACATTTCACAAATTTGAAGTATACCGTACAATTTATCTCAAATTTCATGCAAATATTGGTATCTTCCCGATCTTTGTATTTCTCTATAGTCTCCTCCTACATATTGTGTTCATCTTATAATAGGCACCTGATTCTGTCCTTTTTTTTTTTTTTTTGGGAATTAAAGAAGCAGTCCCTGATAACCTACTTTTATAAACAGAATTGAACTCATGACCTTCCATTAGCTAGGTAATTTTTATGTTATTAGGCTACAAGATCATTGTCTAGACACTCAATTCGATTATATACAATCTACCAACAGCTAGCAATCCATATATACGGGGGAAAAAAAAGGAACTAAATGGATTCAAAACTGAATATAGCATTGTCTAATAGCAGAATCTCTGCATTAGAGAACTTATTAACAAGCTTTGGTTTTTTTTTTAAAAAAAAAGGACAACTTATGAAGTCCCTAAATATACAATACCTTCCTAGCCAGAATGACTCCTAGTGATCTATAATGTGACCATTATTTATTGAATGCCTCTAAATCTAAAGCCTTTGAATGATCCTGGGCTGCAAGATTAAAAGACAACTGATTCATCCTTTATTCTTCTAGGGCTTGATCAAATGAGAGATTCCTAGGATAATCTCAGCAAGGGTTTATACAAGGTGGTGGAAACAATGTCCCTGCAGCAGCAATGAAGCAGCATCAAGATAAGATTATAGTTGAAGCATCAGCATTATAAGACCACAGGCTGTTCTCCTTCAAGCTCAGAAATAACTATCAGCGAGTCTGTCAATTCAAGAGAGAGGGGTTCTGACTTTGGAATTGGGTTAATAACCTGCAAAGATGAAAAATAATGCTTAACATGCTCTTGTGGATGGATCAACATAGCTTTTTTTTTTTTTTAAAAAGGGTAAGTATGTTTTTAATCAAAATTTACAGCATACCTTCCTGTTATTTTTCACATAACCTATGGCTACTTCTCTCCGTAGATATGCTCTCTCTGAGAGCTCCCAAAATGATGGATTCTCTCCTTCTTTCATGTAAAGGCTGATATCCTGTCATATGAAACAATGGCAAGTAACAGTTAAAGTGCATACTTGTTACCGAAAATCACTCAATGTTGGCCCTTGGCTCTACAATACAGATTAAATGTCATCTTCGAATCAATATTAATATCAATATACAACATAAAATTTAAAAGGAAGTTGCCCAGTTTACAAATCATCAATAATATTGTTCATTCTTTAAATTTTGGTGGACCCATAGCTAATGGGCTCTTCTCTATTGGGCCAAGGCTAGGTCGAGTGTGTGAGATCAGAGAGAAAGGGAAGGAGGAAGGGTTGTGCGCAGTATATCCAAGGGCAAAAGGGTTTAATTGGGGGGGGGGGGGGGGGTTAAGCAGAGAGTGAGTATTGTGAGGGAGAAGATTCTAATGCTACGAAAACATTGATGTTTGCGCGTGTGAGTTTTGCTTTATTCTTCTATTTTCCAAAATCTTGTAGCTATTCTACCTTATATTTACACTCTGGCTAGGTTTTTCGTCTTTTACCAATATATTTGAGCAGTGGGTTCTATCATTTTGGTATCAGATCAATAAATCCCAGGGGAAGGAGATGAGAATTGCTTTGGATGAACTTGACGGATTGAGAATGATTGACTTATTGGAGAAGAGTATAGGACTTACGGATAATGTTCTAGGAACGATAGCAACTATAAAAGAAGACAGGAAAGAAAAAAATAAAAATGGAGCAAGGTTTCAGAAAAATCAAGGAAGATGTACAGGCTAAGGTAGGGGTACAAATTGAGGAGAAAATTTAAGCAAACAGTGATTATTGTGAGGGAGAGATTCTAGCCTCTCAAATGCTACGGAAAAGTGAGTTGAGAGTTTTGCTTTATCCTTCTATTCTCCAAAAACTCGTAGCTATTCTATCTTAGATTCACTCTGGCTAGATTTTTCATCTTTTAATAATATATTTGAGCAGTGGGTTCTATCTAACTCCATACAATGTATAGGAGAGGACTAATTTAAAGGAATAGTGATGAAGGAAGGAATTTCTCCATAAAATGGGACAATAAAGTTTGCATAAAGAAAAATCTTTAAAGGACCAAGAGCACCAAGACTGACAAGCCTCAGCAGTCATAACGATTCATGGATACTAAGGTATTGCAAAAGGAGTATATTATTACCTTCACATATATTTCATCACCCTCTGCATTTAGTACATCTTTCCAAACTTCGTTAAGTTCGCTGTTCTCCGCTACTGTTTTGCAAATACAGAAAATAACTTTTTGAACACAGTGGCTTAGCAAATAGACCACTTAAAGCAGAGCATAGTAAAGAAGAGAACAAAGGTTATGACCTTGGGCTGTGACAAGGCTCATTAATTCCTCTGCTGCAATATAGTTCAGTGATGGATTGATTCTAGCAATCTGCAGCATTTTATACAGAAGCACATCACCTCAAGTTTTGAAAATAGTTGAAACTAAATTTTGAAAATTTTAGCAAACTAAGAAATTTAGTGTATTACTTGTTTCCCCAGATTTGAATCAACAATCTCTGCAACTAGATTATGCACCTGCAACATAGAATTTTTAAGTTCCTTCCCAGTTCATTATTATAACTACTAACTCATTTTAAATAAAGAATATTTCCGTGTATATGGTCTAGAAATTGGCATCATTCAGATTTAAGTCCTACAACGTTAAACGTATCACCTTAACTCCAAGTTTTTTGCAGATATTTTCAGCTAGTAGGAGAGAATAAGCAGAATTCTTATCTGCCTTAGATGGATCTGCAGAGATAATAGCCAATAATCAATAGCAGGGTATTATATGCCACAAAAACTGACATGCATCATTACCTCCAAGAAGCCATCCTCTGTCAGATATGACTGCAACCGACAAGGGAATATCTTCATGACCAATAGATTTCTGGATATTCAGAAGGGTCTGTTTTAAGGTGTCATAGTCCAAAGGATTTCCAATCTACAGAATATGAATGACGTGAATAATCATAAAAGTAGAAAAACCACAAAAGCAAAATTCTGGTACAACAGTGACTGAATACCCTGTGAGAAATTTGAACATTCTTGAGATTACTTTGACCACTAATTTTGCTGGCCCTGATCCTGTCATCAATTGGTGCATCTGATAATATTTCCTGCATATTGTTTAAGAGATGAGTTTTGAACTTAGAATGAGTGCATAGACAGTCCGGAAAGTAGAATTCGGGGTTAACATGCACAATAAAGAACCCTTGGCCATTTCCTAATTTTCTCGGGCTCACACATACCATTCTTTCAGACCATTAACAGAGTGCATTTTAGGTCAATGCTTATGTAAAATATAAATCTCATCTCTTTAAAATTGAAGTATCAATTCATTGACAGTGTCAAAAAGAATTACAGGCAATTGGATTTATATATGTGGCCATGATGGCAGCAGAAACGAAATTAAAAGCCAGTCAATTGTCAATTTTTCGAGATGCATGAATAATCAATCAATTATCAGTTTTTCATGGAATACTTGGTCTTTAAACTTTTTTCACTGGTACATTAGTTAGTAGTATAAAGCATGTGTATTAGCAATCAGGAATTAAAGCTTCTGTGCCTTTCAGCCATAAGATCATATAGAAAATGTATTTATTAAAGTTCAAGCCTCACTACTGGCATTGAAGATGGCTTATGGTTTTAAATCAAGAAATCATTCAACACACGAAGTAAACACCAATGGAAGTAACCAGTTCACCACACATATAAGATCATACCACAACACTTCCTGGACCAAGATAGTTATCATACTCTTCAATCATTTCTACAACATCAGGGCGCCACCCAAGCAAAAGAATGCACTCTTTTGGTCCCAGATCTCCATCTGATGCCTACATGATGATCAGTAATAAATGCAAAGAGCTTGAATAAATGGCACTAAACTTTAACCAGAATGTCTTTCCAATGTACTCCTCCAATCCTATTTATAAGCTTGAAATTTGTGAATGAGTGTGATTCGTTTTATAAGCCTCAATTTGGGTTTGTCTTAACATTTAATGCATTTTTTCCAATTTTTCCCTTAATTATTTATTCTCTTTTTCTCTATCATAATCTCCCTTATCACATTTCCTCACATATTCTCTTTCATCTATTTTCTCATTTATTACAAGGGCATACTTGGAAACAAAAATATATTTTTAACCTATTGATTGCTTTTAACTAATTTTAACTCATTGTTCGTTATCTGTGAATTAGTTTTTTAATGTTTAAAATAAGGACTAGAGGGAGTAGTTGTCCTACCTTAGAACCTGATCTTTTAGGACGCTTTACAATATTAGCTAGTCTCATTTTACTCAATTCTATGGCATGCTCAATATCTTGTTCTTGAATTTCTTGGTCATGAATTCCATGAATTCCTTCTTTTTTGCCTGCGTATGCATGTGCCTCCTTTGTATCACGAAGGGAGCCAATCATTAATACCTAAATGAGGAAAGCTTAGTGACATTAGATAGTATTCTAGCAAACCTCCTGAGAAATTAATTGATTTCAAAACCTTAAATAAAGAGAAAAAAGTTAAGAGCATATCTTTTCGATATCAAAGTCATCATTGAAAATTGACAGAGAAACTTCAGATCCAAATGGAATATAAATTAGATTTAGTTATGAGCTAGCCTACACATACTTTATCAGTTTGGTGCAGGATCTCACTATCATTTGGATGGAAGTTTATCCTTCCATTCCGATAAAGGCCGCAGACAACTTCCTGAATAATATGAATGGAGAGATAATTACGTAAGCAAATTCGTGTAAGCAATAAATGGTGGAATCAGCCACAAATTACATTAATTACCTCTTTAAATGCATGTCTTACTTTCCTATAGGTCATTCCTTCTACGTTAGGTATGCTGCAAAGATTAAATACATTTTCTGGAAAAAGCAACAGTAATAATAATTAAATTTCAGGAAAATAAAAATTTGCATGTTAGGTCAATAAAGAAAATAACAAGCCAGTTTCCAAATCTAGGGTCATCAAATAGGGAAATGTGACACTAGCCATAACGAAACAATAAAATAATTAAAGCCAAATGAAAAGTTTATTCTGAGAATTTACATAAAAAATTACTCTCTCTGGTCCTTATTATAAGTTTCAAATAAGTAATTCGTCCTTATTATAAGTTTCAAATAACTAATTCGCAAATAACAAGTAATTAGTTGAAATTAGTTAAAAGTAATAAATAGGTTATAAATAATTAAATATACTTTTGTTTCCAAATATACCATTATAATAAATGAGAAAAAGAATGAAAGAGAATGTGTGCAGAAATGTGACAAGAGAGATTATGGCAAAGGAGAGAGAATAAATAATCAAGGACAAAATTGAAAAAAAAATGCATTGAATATTAAAACAAACCCAAATTGAAGTTTATAAAATAGACCACACCCCTTCTCAAATTTGAAGCTTATAAATAGGACTAGAGGGAGTACTAAACTTCGATGAAATGGCATAATTGATTGATTTAGCAGCTGCAGTCCACATTATCAGAAGACAATTTGATCCTCTTTGAGTATTATTCTTAATTTAGGTAGATAATAAACCATATTAGGTCAAAGGAGGAATGCTGACAAATATGATATGCAGAAAGTATGCAATACTTCGATAATTTAGCAAGTGTCTGTAGATCTTTATAAGCCCTTTCTGCCGAGAGCATTGAACAAATAATTTGGATGTAACATTTTCTACTGGCTCCACTTTCAATCCTGATAGAGATTTTAAGAGCTCACATGTCTTGGAACTTGAAACCTGCAAGCATTAAATAAGACAAATTCTTACTTTTGCGCACAGCATTTGAATTTTATATTCTTCATTTCATTTCAAGCTGAATGTGTGCAACATACTTCGACAATGGTGGGGACAGAATCCATTCTCGGAATTGGTTGAAGGGCTAAAACAGATAGAAAAGCATCCGTGTCAACTTCATACCTAAGACATTAAGGATCTGAAATCAATAAACTTCATTAAAGTGAAATTCCGAATATTGATGAAAGAAAATAAAGATAGAAGCCCATATCAAAGTTAACATAACAGAAATGGGATAACTTGTTTGGCACTTTCAAATAACAACTATGACCACCCAAGTTGGGCGTTCGTACAAATGTTGAGGAAGTAGGGCAAGGTGTGGTGTAGTTGAGGTTCTGCTGTTTTTGGTTTATTTAAGCATAGCATGAGTGTTTCAATCTGACATTTGTGCCTACCTGTTTTATGTGGGAATTTTTAAATCTTGGTCAGTTTTCACGGGTATTTTAGTAGGTGTTTTATCACATATTCAAACAGAGAGGCCAACTATGTCGAGCTGATGTTTCTCATCATTACTAGAGTCCCTTTTTCTGATTTTTCCTTTCTTTAAGAGGACTCCTGGATCCTCCTGTTCTTTAATTATTTCCTTAATAAATGTGATCTACTATTGAAAAGAAAACAGAAGCCACAAGTTGTATTTGTCAATTGTGTTATGAAAATAAATTCTAACTAAGACCTCCATAACACCTATAATAGATGGTAATAAATTAAAATCATGACCACTGTGACTAAAATTTCAATGCATTTTCATGAAAAACTATTATACCTCTATAACATGCAAGGATGAATTTATAAAAGAAGGCCAGGTAAATTGAATTGATATTGCCCCGGCACTACCATATCAATTTGCATTTTTAAGCAGATCAACTATTACCTATCCCCTTTTGTTGGCAGTATAATTATTGCACGAGCCTTGTTGGCCGCGGCTCTTTCATATGATTTCGTCAAACTAAGGCTGCAACTGCAGAGACAGAAAATTTAGATATGAGCCATAATAAACTGCTAGCTGAGTCTTGGACCTTGGCCCGTACTAATGCTTAACCCAGTCAGTCTTGAGTTCAGTAGTTATTAGCTGTTCAGACTTTATTTGTTATTAGTTCTTATGCATTTACAGCTTTGTTTCTTCTGTTTTTGACTTTGGGGTCACTATTTATTGCTAGCTGTTTTGATGCTCTCTATATGTACCTACCTCTTCCCTTTAATCAATAGACAGAAAACACAGAAGAATATTTTTCTTCACAGACATTGAATTAAAAATCATGGTTCACTTTCAATTTGTTTTTTTTACCAGGATTTTTCATGTAGTGCATCAAAACAACTAAACAACAGAACAATCCGTGACCCCTAAAAAAAAAAACAAAATTATACAGTTAATCGAGCAATTGTCTTGATTGCTTTCTTTACACTGGAGGAAGGATGCTCTGACTGATAGTTGAAATTAGTGAGAATAATACATAATACAGGAAAAGTGCCATTATGCTCCAAAATAAAATGCAGATAAAACAAATGTAAGACCAGAAGCATACATATTACAGGATTTTACCTCATTAAAAGGAAAGGGGAGGTTGTCATGAATGTTTCCTTATTACACAACATGATATAGGAAGATATCCAAGCATTCATACCTCTTTGTAAGGACGTCAATGTGATTTAAATCTTTCACCATTGGTTCAGCTATTTTGTCAATCTGTTTTCTAGGAAGATCAGACATAAGAAGGATTCTCTGCTTCCTGAATTGGAGTCAATCAGCGTATTTACAAAGCCAGAATTTTGAACACAAGTTAGCGTAACAGCCTTAAGTGAACTGCTTACCTAGCTGTAGCAGTGCCTAAGCGGACCGCAAATTCATGATATTTGTTTAGCTGCTTTAATATGAAAGGCAGATGACTATTCATACCGCAAATGATGATATGATCAGTCTCCAAAACTTGCATCTGGGCCCCCTCTCGGAGTCTTTGCATATTATTCTGCTCTATAGACTGATAATTAAAGATGTGTACAGAAAATAATTCTTATTGAATTCTCACTGCTTTTGAACTTACCCTAAACTGTTCGGTCATTGTACTTAGAAGGCGAGTGTAAAACATTATACCCCATATGGCAAGAATAAATCCAATAACACGCTCAACCCGTGTTGATTGCTGCAGTCCAGCAAGAAAATCTGTCCTTCAGTAATAGTCAATGCATATAAACAGCATAGGGGGGCAAAAAGTCATAAAAAACAAAGAGAGTATGAAATTTACAAGATTTCCAACATACTCTTAAATGGGTTGATGATGAAATAAGGCATGCCCAGGCTTCCCAGAAGCACTCCTCTAATGACTGCTTTTGACCCCTGAATAATTTAACATGGGCCCAGGTTAGGAAACATGGTCAAGCACACTTGCAGTGAAACTAAACACTTATCTACCACAATTTAAGGTTGTCAAATCTTAAATTTGGCACAAAAACATGAAAAAAGTAATCAAGGGTTGCAAGGGTGATCAGATATGTCATATGACATATTGGAGTAGTGGAAAGGTAACAGTATTTTCTATAGGATAAAGAGGGTGGACAAATATGGATATTAAGCCACTTACACTGCTAAATATGAAAATCATGAACAATAAACACACTACAGACAGTGCATATCAATGATTACCTGAATTTGAAAAACAGGAGACCACCAATAAAAACAAACGATGAACATGCTACAAGGAGCACCACAAAGATCCTGAAAGAGTCCATATCAGATAAAGCACGTTAGATGTATCGTCCAGTCAACACAGTTCATGAAAATTGTTCACATAACCTCAGTTCAATCAGCAATATAATATCAGAATTACCCAGCCAACCCTCCTGATAAAATAGAAAACGAGTAAGGAAAAAATTTCATATTTTCCTACCTGAACCCTTGTAATAAAACAATTTTCTTAGCCTATTCCTTGTAAGTATAGATAAATCCATCAAGGTAAATTCTGGTCTTCAAATGTTGTTTGGCAATTTGGAGATCAGTGGGATGTGTGGGGTTTGAGCTACCAAAAAGTCTCTCCATTGCTCGGAAGTTCAATGACAAAGGAATTGCAAATCACTTTCTTTTCTTTAGAAGTTACAATGAAATTGGACCGGCTGGATTTGAAAAGTTAAATTTCCAACATTACCCTTAAGTATATAGTCCTTTAATACAAAGAAGAAAATACAAGTAAGAGGGTACAATTTAAATGTAAGAACGAAAGGGACTTGAATAATTCCAAACCTCAATTGAGAACGATTAGGGAATAGGAGCCCCAATGCATCCTTCCAATTAAATCCTCACTTTTTTAGTACTACCAAGGAAATATATTTTGCTCTAAAATAGTTGAGTTCTCCAGTACACTTGAAAATACCCAAGAAAACTGAAGGAATTAAAAGCAAAGAAAAACCATACAGTAATGTAAACTATCTGATTGAAAATTGGAAAGGAAATATTCATCCTTAGCGAAGTTTAACATTTCTCTTAAACCACATATGCTAAATCCCATAAAAGCATCATGTGTTAGAAAACCTACCCTTATTTTATTTCCCAAGAACTCTTGCAACAAATCACAATTTTATCGCACTAATGTTTAAAAAAATAAACCAAACGACTATTCCAAGTCATCTCACGTAATTAACAATGCAAAAATGCATAACCAAATATCCTGAACACTGCCTTTCTTTAGCCAAAAAAAAAGGTTGGTTTTCCTCATACTTATTATAGGTAAACGCAATCAACTAACTGAATGATGAAGCAAATATAAGCTTACGTGGCAACATTTCTCTCAAGTTGGACGTTGAACAAGTATATCAAACGCGCTAAGCTCCAACTAATATCGTTAAAAGAGGGAAAGGACACATTTAAGCGCAGAGGGCTGGGCTTATTCAAGGTATTGGAGACACAAGCAAGAGGCAAGCTTGTTGCGGTAAGAGTTTGAAGAATATCTGGAAGCATTCCTTGAACAACTTTCAATATCCGGAGAAAAAACATTTGATGAGTTACTCTTTGTATGAAGTACAATGACAAAGATTGTACCATGCTTTCTGTCCATGGACCCTGCACATACGACAGACTGAGAGAATCAGCACCCACTGTAACCATCACAAGCAGAAGACAACCCAATAAGCCAATTCTAATGTCATATACACTCATGAATGCAACAAACTGAGCTGTGAACAACTTTTATCAAAGTGATTAATAATATAATATATTGTTGAGAGAAAAATGAATGATGGTGAGTAATTGAACAGTTTCTTGTAGGAGAAAATAACGAGACAGATAAACAAAGTATACAGAATCTGAAATATCATTCCCCCAAGGACCACAAGTTCTAAGAACCTTTTGTTAGATAAGTCAAACTTATCACATATGGATTCTGGTTGAAAGAGATGTTTAACAATGTTAATTTTTGTATGAGTCAAAACGAAGCAGAACCTGGTTCATCACCACCATCAATTCAGCATCCAAAATGGGCATGTGCACAGGTTTGTCCATTTCACTAAATACCTTAAATTACTTGGTTAAGATTATTACAAGCATAAATGCCCTTCATTTTTTTTAACCCTCTTGAATGTGGGACCTCTCTCAAGGCTTATCTCCAACTCTTCCCCTCATATGTAGCCAGAGCTCTCTCTGAATCCAGTTACCACTTTCATAAACATTTGGGTCTTGTTCTCCATTTTCCAATCTTGGCTTTGTAAATTTCATTTACTAACCATCAATCATGTAATCGATAGAGCCTTCAAATGGCTCGCTGAATTCTCCCTGAGTTTGAGTTCTTTGAATCTCAAAGGCCTCAAGCTACAACCTTCATTTTACTCCATTACTTGGGCTGGTACACCTGAACCTCAGAGACCTCAAGCCCAACACTTTCTTTTTAATTACCTGATAATTCCTAGCTCCAACATTCATATAATGTGATTCAAATCATAATTGGCACCTTTTCCTTTACTAACATATTTTTCTTATCGTGCATCATATTAAGAAAATGACACTGCACATCATCACCCAAACTCTTTACTTCAGTGAATCAAAAAAAGGAAAAATATAAAAAGGCCATTCAATGATTATACTGGACAGGCTCACAAGAACACTTTGCTTCACCTTTAGGAATATGCCAAAATCAGCATAGTGTTGAAGGACAAGTTTAGATTGTATTTTCTCATAAGATCATATGCCTATAGTGTCGCACAAAATATATACATTTTTCAGGATCTTCTATTCATTGCTGACCTTTTCGACATTATTATTTATGTTCTCCATCATAGTGCACTTGGCATCCATACTCCCTAGAACACCAGCATTTGTGTTCAAACCTGATTTATTTTCTGACCGGTAACAATGAGCCTCCCATCTACCTACAAGGATATCATGTGGGAAAAGGAGATAGACCAGAAAAGTCAATTCAATTCCGACCAAAAGATAAGGCAGAGAATAGAATACCAGAGTTGATTAGACAATAAAATTAAGAATCCCAAGAGAACAAAGTAAAACCAAGGCAATATTGACAAAAAGAAACAGATGACAATTTATAACCATGTTGCGATAAACAACTCCACTGTTACATATCTGAAGATCTACACTCTTGAGTTTCTGAAATCAAAGATATGCTGGAAAATATGGTTTAATAATTTTCATGGTAAGAAGTATGCATCAGCATTGAAATTCAATCAAGCTGCTCAGTATGCCACATCTATGTATTAACAGCCCAAAATGCAAACAAGTGAAGGTGACTTCAAGCCATGTGGTAGAAAGAGCAACATATGGGCATTTCCAGTGTTATCATTTATGCAACCATTTGTCAATAACTGTGAGCCATAAAAACAAGAAAGTATCAATGTCAAAGAAGAAAGAAAATGAAATAAAAATTCAACAAATAAAAACAATCATAAGACATTCATGTCAGTACAACCATACCAATGCTTCTTAAAAACTGACAGGAGGTGTACCACTCATTTTACATTGTTATAGCAACATCAAGAAGACAGGGAAAAAGATTGTATTTTTATTGCAAGTACATAATAGTATACAGTAAATGGAAGCTAGTAACAGAACAACCAGTGAACTTTTAAAACATATGGCAGTTTTATTAAATAATATAATGGAGGAAGCATGGGAAGCTCGTATGCAGGACAAGTGATACATGTGCTTTACAGAGATTTTTCTTGATTTCCCTTTCAGCTTATAAACCTAAGTATAAATAGGCAACAATTTTCAGATTTTCTATTGCTTGCTCATTAATGATGTACGAATATCATTTACATCAGGTTATCAAAGAAATCCAAAATTATAAATTGGTCTATTATAATCTATAATCTGTATGGCAGAGCTACTTCGTGAAGTTCACAGCCAAAATAAATGCTTCATGAAGAATGTAGTGACCAAGAGACTGTCTTTAGAGCATCCAAGTAGAGGACCGAATCATGAAAACTAAGGAAACGGAGAGACAGAAACCTATTTGTCAAGCGCAAAAGATACCAATACATTTAAGGCACCACAAAGATAAAGAAGACATAAACAGACTGTACTCCAATTATTGCAAATAACTACCGCAGTGGAATAAGAACAGTATTAATAATGATGCAAGCAATTTCAATAACGAAATTATTTTTTGACTCAGTTCAAAACTTTCAATGATGGATGACTGAGCGAGAACATATATTCATGATGAAGAGACTTAACAGTTGATTGAGTTCAAGGTCTTCAAGCTCAATAGTTTTTTAGGAAAAAGCTAAAAAGGAAACTCAAGCTTGTTTTGTTCTTTTCCTTTTCCCTTTGCCACATGGAGCTCACCTTCACTGTTTTCCCTAGGACAATGCGCATGTAATGTCGAAGATTTGAACAAGCCATATCCGTAGGATGTCAATCTCCTGTAAAGGTCACAGTAATGTCAATTTCCTGTAGCACCCAAAAAATAAATTAATTAAAGATAACTTTATCATTTAGCAAATTTGTTGCCTTGAGCTTTTAGTTCTTCTACCATAAAGTAATAAATATCCATAAAGAGAACCTGAGACTACCAGAGCCAACATAAATTACCCACATAAACAAATGAACTATCTCCACCAAATTTATATCATTGGTGTATGCCAACACCTTCAACAAACCTCATTATGAGAGTTTATTTTCATTACTCCTCTAGCGTAGTGTACTCGATGACGCTTCTATTTAGATATTGCAATGCCATTTAATTTATATTTTGCTCAACCAACTGTATAATTAGGTCATGGTTTCTATGGATCAATGGAGTATAAATTTTAGACGAAAGTTATTCATCAATATGTAAAACAACAGTACTCTCCTTTCCATTACAGCTACAAAACGATATTTCGGACGGACTGTTGGGAACCACGTTGGCGTGGTTGCAAAGCCACATCTTGTTGCTGCTGTCAAAACCACGTTTTAGAACCAGTCCAAATGGTTCCAAACACACTCTTTATGGTTGAGTAGAACTAGGCTTCCTTTCAAGTTAAAAGTTGAATCTAGTTTGAATTTCCCTATAATAAGAGTAACTTCTCTAATTAGAGGTTGTGAGACCTCACCCTCAATTCAGGCCCTGAAGCTTGAGGCCATGGACAATGTTGATCAAATTAGTCAACTATGCACCACCAAAAATCTCTGAATCTCTTGATCCCAGATGTATGCTCCTCCCAAAAATAAATGAATAAAAAGGCCACATACCATTACCACTGATCTAAGCTTGAAAGTTTAAACTTTGAGAAAGTACCTCTTGCTATGAATTGATGATGAGAATTGATGAGGGATTCTTGTAACTCGAGAAGGACACCATAGCAGCGCACTGTGCCATTGAGCAAGAGTCATAACGCCTTCTTCTTCTTACTACTTAGTTTCCCACAATGAGGGAGAGAGGGAGAGAGATTGAAACCAGAACAGCAGAAGCGATCACTGACAAAAATGCACGAGTGACTGAAGATAGTGACGACGGTGGAGATGATTCTATATTGGGAATTATGATTGAAAGGAAGAAAACAAAAAGGAAATAGCACATGAAAGTGAAAGCGTGGAAGACAAAGAACAATGCAGTAGCCAACTACATCTTGGGAAGTCCCTACCAGGTACTTATGCGCTGTGTGCTGTGAACAATAACAGACTCGATACTCCCATCTCTCTGTACCTGGACCACCAGTTCACCATCGTACCTTGAGAGTGCGGGTCTCTGCAAATACGACTTACGAGGTCATTGACCATTAATTCCCGCGGTCGAATTCTTAGAGTTTTGATCTTTCCTTCTCACGAAATATTCCATTTCATCGGTTCCGAGTTCCGACGAACTTCACAGTCATCGGTATAATCTTTCTTTCACAGTTTTTTAATGCCAACTTTATTTCACAGTCCTTGGATCATCAAAGTTTTGCTCAAAAGAATGAATTTTTGCCAAAAACAAACAAAAATTACTCTCTCTAAAGTCTAAAGTCTAGGCAAGTAGAGAGAGGAAAAAAAGAGAGGGATTGTGGCTGGTGGGCCTGATATGTGGAGCCTACCATGAAAAAGAGCCTCCTAAACCAGGTTCCACTATTCCGGGTGCGATCCTGCAGCTCCTCATGTGCTTCTACGCCTGCATCCGAGAATTGTAAAAGCGATTATCTTTCTGTTGCTAAGGTGAGATTTGTTTAATTAATTTAAATATATTAAAAAATTAGTTAAATTAATTATTTATAAAAAATATATTTTGTTTTTTTAAATATCTTATTTATTTTCTATACTTTAACAAGTTTTGATTATACTTAACTTACAAATAATAATACGTTTTGATAAAAATTCTTAATTTAAGATTTAGTAATTTTTATGTTTATTTTGTAGGATTTTTCCCATTAATTTTTTTTATTGTATTTGTTTACTACTCTTATAATTCTATTTATAAAACACTTTTAATAAATTTAATTGGAGTTAACAAAAAATTTTAATACAAATAACTAATTTATTTTTTTTAATTTACTCAAATTAATCAACTAGTTATTATATTAAAAACTAAGAAAGTAACTTTTTAACTTTAACTGTATTCAATATATGTTATATATTATAATAAATTGTTCACATGAATGATAAATAAATGGTATAATTATACATCTTATAATGGTTTTGTAATATAACTTATAAATAAATAGAATAAAAAAGGGGGTTAATATTTTTTTTTGAGCCAAAAAAAGGGTTAATATAAACTTTAATTTTTTAAACTTACACTTATTTTGATTTTAGTTTCTCAAGTTGCCAATCATAGGTTTTGGTCCCTCAAAAATAGAGTCGGGAAAACGGGCTAAACCCACTTAAGCCTATTTATGTTGAGGGCCGGACTTGTAATTTGGGGTCTTCAAGAGGAACTTAGACTTAAAAGGGCCAAGGTTCGTAAATAAAAAAACGGACCGGCCTGCTTAAGCCCACTAATAATAACTTTTTAATTTATATTTTTTTGACCATAACCTAAATCCCCAACATTTTACACACTCTCTCTGTCTAAGTTTCACTCACTCTCAACTCACACCTCAATTTCTAATGATATTAAAATAAATAAAAATATATTCTCCGTATCCTAAATCAGATTTCAAATTTGTATTTATTCAAACCAATAGTTATATATTAAAAGAAATAAAATATATTCCCCATATTAAAACAAAAATTTTAATGATTAAACCAACAGATACGTATCAATTTGTATATATATCAATTTGTATATATGTTATAAAATTTTAATAAATAAGGTAATACTTTTTTTTAATAATGACTATATCATAATTTTTATTGTATATTTAAATAGAGTTAGATAAGTGAGTTAGAAAAACCAAAGAAGACCATTTTGAACAAAGCAAAAAAAAAGATGACATAGCTCATTAAGATATTTCAAACTTTCCATGAGATTGTCAGTAAAGGGATTTTTACAATTAAAGCCTGACAAATTATTGATATTTTTAAAAGTTAAGAAGAGCCTATTACTAGTGAAGCACAATCAAATATTTTTACAATTAATAATAGTAATGATAGTGTTTTTTCACTATTTTTTAGTAATGATAGTGTTTTTTCAAGTGAAAACGTTTGTTTACTTTTAATGGAACTTTTGGATGTTAATATTATTAACTTGTTATGTCCAATGGATATGTTGAATTTTTTGTATGGCAATAGACATTTAGATATGATGATCTTTTATATTTATGACTTAATTTTATTTATATTTACGTCTTTTACTAGTAATTTTATTGGTTTATTTTTATTTTTTGATAAAACATATAAAAAATATGAAAAAAAAATTAAAAGGGCCGGCCCTGAGCCCTTCTACTTAAGGACGGGATTTAGTAAATTAGGATATTTTTGAAATTTCGACCCTGTAGGGCGGTCCTTTTAAGCCTGCCAGTCATGGAGGGCCGACCAACCCGTTTTCTCAGCTCTATTCAAGAGGCAAAATAGTTTAGGTCTTCATTAAATTATAAGGATTAATATTTTAAATGAAAAAATTTGATAAATTAAATCTATAATTAGAAACTTAAGGGATCAAAATTAGACTGAGGACAAATCTTTTTAACAAAAAGTTATATTAATCTAATAAAAAAAATACTTTCTCCACTTATAAAGTCACTTAACCTTTTTTCTTTTTTTTTTGAGTTACAGGGGCGGGCTCCAACTTGCAATACACACTCCCACCCATGCGCACATGCCAAGTGGCCGGTATAAAGTCACTCAACTTTGTTTCAGCCTTTTTTGAAGTAAAATCAGCAGCTCGGGCATTGGTCAAATAAAGAAATGACGATCGGACGATATATGATGCAATCCCATCATGGGCCCAACTTTACTACAGTACTTTATGACGGTTCTTCTAGAAGATACACCGTCACGTGATGCACGTGTCATCTATTCCTCACCGGCTCATCAAACTCATTATGGCAGCCCTTTTTTCAGCGGAAATCATCATATCTACCAGACTTCCGCTATTTTTGTGTAATTTTTATTTTAGTTTTAAATATAAAATTTTAATTTATTTTACCTTTTGTATTTATTTATTTTTTTGAAGATAATTATTTTAATAATGATAATTCTAATTAATAAAATTAATTAGTAAAGATATTTTAAGAAAGATAATATTTATTTATTACAAATAACTAACTCAACTTATTTCTTTAATCTATTCAAATTAGTCAATTAGTCAAATAACTAGCTCTTATATGGGATTTTTTTTGAGTAAATAAAATATATGATAATTGATCTTAAATATATTTAATAAAAAAATGACATAAAGAGAAGTTAAAAATTGCGATATTTGAATTCAAACACTTAAGATGTCAAAATACTAGGGGAGAAAGTGATGTTTGATTTGGTATTTTACAAATATAGTTAAATAACAAAAATACTCTTGTATTAAAAAGTTTATCAACAAGTTCTAAACTGTCAATGATAGGTTTTAAACATCAAATTACAAAAAATATATTGGTAATAGCAAGTTATTTATTAATAAGCTGTGAATTGATAATAACAAGCGTTGAACAACCTTGGCAAGTTTGATGGCTTTTTTTAAAATTAAAAAAATCTAATACAAAGATATTTTAGTTATTTAACTATATTTGTAAAATACCAAATTATGTACCACTTCTTCCTCTCAGATTTTGACCTCTTAGGTGCTTGAATTGCAATATTGTAATTTTTAACTTCTTTTTATGTCATTTTTTTCATATTAATATGAGCATGATTTCTTACAAAATTGAAAACATTAATAAAATTAGGATTAAAATGCAAATGTATCTTGAAAGCTTTTACTCAAAATCATTAGCCATAAAAAAAAAAAAAAATTTTAGTACAAATTTTTTGAAAAGTTTAAAATCATAACAATTTCACCTTTTATTATAAAAAAAGTTTAATATTGATCATTAAATATTCACGCTGATCCTTAACATTTTTAAAGATAGGACAAAATTACTACAATTTTAAACCTTCAAGATAAACTTGAACTAAAAATAAAATTGAATACCCAACACTCCTAAATAAAAACTTACGGGATAAATTTGCATCTTGACCTGTAAAATTATGGTCACACTAATTAAGTATGGGCACTATGGTGTGAGAATTGCACTTAATGTATGTCAATATATGAGCAAAATTTCTTAAATATTTGGGAACATCAATAAAATCATGATGAGACCACGTGTTATAGCATGCTAAAACATTCGCAGGAATATTATGAATTCTAGGAATATTTAAAGCAAATATTATAAAGGCTGAAACTTCCAATGAAAAATACCTATTTTATCAATGAAATGAAACTAAACACCATGATTTTGAATGAAATGGTTCTTGGCAGGTTCTTTTAATGGCAGCACACCTCTCACTCTCTCAGGCTCAAACCTGACAATTAACATATTTGTGGGTGCGTCGTGCGCGTTTAAATTGTATCAAATAAAATAAAAATGAAATAGAAATACATACATGATAAATTTGAAGCTTGAAATAAGAACAAAAAGAAAAGCTTATTTGATAGGAAGACCTTTGGTGGCTCTCAGTTAAATATTTAATAGGAAAAACCAAAGGGAAGCAAAATAGAAGTCACTGGGGCCACTTTCTCTCCTTTTTCTCCCCTGTTTGGCACGAGAGAAATGGATAAGAGGAAGATTTTTTTTTTTTTTAAATAGAGGAGTAGGATCATAAAATTTTAATTAAAAAAAATAAGATAAAGCTTAAAAGAGTGAAAAAAAACTAATTAAAAATTTTTAATCCACTTTTTTAATTTTTTTAAAAACAAACACATTAAAATTTTTCCTTCTATCTCTTTCTCCTGCTAAACTGACTTTTTTTTTTTTCCAGGTTGTCCATAATATCCTCTCACCCAAAAGGCAAGAGATTAATATCTCAAAATACTGTCAGGGATTGTAGCAAGAACCCTTTTAAATAATGTTTTTCTCTCTACACACCGTTTCAAGGATCGAACTCGGGATATGGTATTTAAGGTATCCAAGTTCTTTTTACCTGGACCAACACTTGTTAGTCCTACTAAACTGGTTTTCTATTTTGCCCTGTTGGCCCATGAAGACTGTGGAAATTTGCAGCAATTAGCTATTGTTCTTCTGAAAATATATAACGGGGTTTGCAGGTTTGAACCGTGTTCAAAGATTTGTCAGTATATAGTAAAAAGTGAAAACCAGGCTCCACTCAAACCTCCATGAGAAGGGCAGTGCTTGAAAGTAACAATTATGAGTAATTAAATGGGATCAAAATGAAAAATTAACAAGAAAAAAATTTGGAGACAACTTTAAGTGCCTCTTATAAAAAGACAAATTATACCCCACAATTATCTCTTATGAAAAATAACAGAGGGAGTAATAATTTATTGAGGTTTGTTAAGTTCTTAAGATAGCAAAATTGATGGGACTGGGCAAGGCCAGGGGCATCACATTTTCTAATGGTGTGGCTCCAGCTCAATATTAACACATTTGTGTGTGCGTGTACGTATTTGAATCGTAAAATTTTTTTTTAAAAAAAGACATTTGTTTCTTATCACTTGCTTCTCCTACATGTCAAGGACTTCTTCTAATTCTTATTATATCACATTCTTAACTAATACTTATGTATAAAAGAATAATAGTTAAGCTATTAAATTCGTTCTAAGTTGATTAATTTTTAAGTTTACTTCTATTTAAATGAAGGACGGAGTTAACATCTGCTTATAAATAAGATTAGAAAGGATTTATTTATTTTTTACTTAGGGGATGTTTGGATGAACCCATAAGTTTTTTAAAAGTATTTTTTTTTATAAATCGAGACAAACTCCTTCACATATTTACTTCGTAAACCGTAAAAATACTTTTGAAATTATAATTTGGTTTCAATCCAAATACCTCCTTAACAGTTATGTGGTATCTCTCATACTACAATGTAATTATTTATCCTATAAATTTCATTTTATCTTTTTCTAAAAAGGAATTGAAGGAGGATTAATCATTAAAAGGTCACTTTTTCACTTTGCTTCAGCATTTTTTCCCCAAGTAAAGTCAACTGTTTGGATATTCGTCAAATAAAGAAAGAATATATAGATGCCAGTCTCATCATTGACACAACTTTGCTACTTTATTATATGTTCTTTCAATACTGCACCTTCTCGTGATGCACATGCCCATCATCTAATTCTGCCCAGCTCATCAAAATTATACCTACCATGCTACTGTAGGATCACGATTATTTTTGCAGTGAAATGAAACATTAATACCTTAATGAAATCAAAACAAAAATAAGAATGAAATGAAAATGCATACAAGATATACTTTGAAATAAAGACTACTAAAAGGAAAACTTACTTATCTGATTCTAAATGTAAGAGCTAATTGAGAGATTTTTGTCTTTAGTTCTAAATGTAAGACACTAATGCACTTTATTTTCTAACTTATTAATTTGTTATCGAAATTATCTTTATTAATTGCATTTATTAAGAGTGTTTTTATTATGAGATAGTTTTCAATGCCTTGCTTAAAAAAGTGTTTCTATTATGAGATAGTTTCCAATGCTTTGCTTTAAAAAAATTTTCCATGCAAATAATTAAAGAGGTATTTTAGAAAAACAACTAAACTAATTCTTTTATCCTTACAAATTAGTTATATCCTACATCTATGTATCTTACATTTAGGATTACAAGAATATTTGATAAGAAGGACTAGAAGAGTGCAAAAACTCAATAATCTGGTCTAACCCAAGATGGCCCACTCTGGTTCAATTCAAATAAGCCTTGTAAACAAACCAAATCAGACTTGCTAATCAGGCTACACCGAGTTCTAGCTGATCAAACTAGTTGGATTGATTTGGTTTGATCCAGTCTAGGTCAATTTATTTTAAGTATTTTATAATTTTAGATTTTTTCTTATTATTGCTAGATATTATAAGAGATTTTTATGGATTTATATTTAAGCTTTAATGTTTCATGATGAATTTTATATGATTAAAAGTACAATTTAATTAGAGAGTTGGTTTTGATCTTAATTATAATATATATCTTCCATATTTATCATTTTGTCCCCCAACTATCCCTGTTATATTCTCTCAACAAAATGGTGGGTTCTTTTACAACAATGGTTAAAGTCAAAGACCATTTTGAATAAAGGTATTTGTTAACTAATTTAACTAACTTTACTATAAAAAAACTAATTTAACTAACTAATTTAATCTAATTAAATTAGTTAAACAGGCCACCAAGAAAGGTTTTTGGCAACAACACTTGAATATATTAGAAGTGAGAATGCTAATATGAGTAACGAAAAATCCAATACAAAACAAGATCATTTCACGTTGCATTTTTTGCGTTCAGTCAATATATACAGAGTGAATCTACCCCTGACGAACCCCGTCCCATGGGTGCACAAAAGTGACAAAGTTGCTTTCACAAGTTCTCAATTTTGTTTCCTATTTAGTACTCTTCCAGTCCTTAACATAGGACCTAATTGTTGAGTTAATTTTAGTCCTAAATATAAGACGTATTTATCATATTTATATATTTTTTCTAAATTATCCTTATGGATACTCCCTCAATCATAATCAAATAAAAAAGGGAGAGAGAATATTTAGGAAAATAATTATGGTGTCTTAGGAAAAACATGTTATATTTCTTATGATTAATTAACTTACCTAATTTTTTTAATCTAATCAAATTATTTAAATAGCTTTTATATTAAGGATCGGATGAGCAATTAATTTTAAGTTTTCATTATCAATATAACTTACTTTAAAACGGTACAGGTTATCTTAAAATTTCATGCACATATAGAAACAACCCACTTGCTTTTTTTTTTTTTTAAGGGGAAAAAAAACAGAGAGAGCCTGTTATTTTTCTGATCTTTATATTTCTCTAGAAACTCCTCCATGTTCTGTGTCCATTATCTTTGAGTAGTTAGTGATAGCTTCAGCCTTAAGGCAATAACTTAAAACCAAAATCTTAAAAATAGAGTTAAAATGTACTCAAAACTGAATATAACATTGTCTAATAGCAGAATCTCTGCATCAGAGAACTTATTCAAGTCTTGGTCCCAAAAAAAAGAAATTATTAAAGCCCCTAAATACACTATTTTCCCTGCCAGAATGACTTTCAGCGGTCTATAATGTGACCATTATTGAACTCCTAAATCTTCAAGCCTTTGGATGTACCTGAGCAGCAAGATTAAAAAAACAACTGATTCACCCTCTATTCTTCTGGGATTCGATCGACTGAGAGATTCTTAAGAAAATCTCTGCCAGGGTTTATACAAGGTGGTGGAAACAATGCCCCTGCAGCAACAATGAAGCAGCATGAAGATAAGATTATATTGAAGCTTCAGCATTACAAAACCACAGGCTGTTCTCCTTCAAGCTCCGAAATAACTATTAGTGAGTCTGTCACTTCAAGAGAGAGGGGTTCTGACTTTGGAAGCGGATTAATAACCTGCAAAGATGAAAAATTATATTTAACATGCTCTTATGGATGGCTCAAGTTCTTCAAGGGTGAGTATGTTTTAATCATATTTTAACAGCATACCTTCCTGTTATTTTTCACATAACCTATGGCTACTTCTCTCCGTAGATATGCTCTCTCTGAGAGCTCCCAAAATGTTGGATTCTCTCCTTCTTTCATGTAAAGGCTGATATCCTGTCATATGAAACAATAACAAATAACAGGTAAAGTGCATACTTGCAGAAAATTACTGTCTGCTGGCCATTGACTTAACAATAAAGAGTAAATGTCATGTTCAAATCGTTATTAATATCAATATACAATACAACCTCCAATTGTAAATATAAGAACTAATTGGAGATTTAATTCAGTTCTAAAATAATTCATTTTGTCTCCCATATTTATTTGATTTCTCCCAAAGTAATTCCCACGATAATTGCACATGTTAAAAGGTTTCCATTCTAATGTACATGACTGATAAGGATATTTTAAAAAGACAATACTCATTTATTACAAATAACTAACTTAACTAATTTTCTTAATATTCACAAATTAGTTATCCAACTCTTATATTAAAGACTGGAGGTAGCACAAAATTTATAGCAAGTTATATGGTTTACGAATCATAAATAATATGGTTAACATCCTTTGAATTCTGTAAATGCATTGTGCTAGGAGGATAGGGTTAAAAAATGCCAATAAAAATTTGCAAAAATTAAGTGTTTAAAGGATGAAGAGCACCAAGACTGACAAGGCTCAGCAGCCCAGATGATGCATGCATATTAAGGTATTGCGAAAAGGAGTATGATATTACCTTCACATATATTTCATCACCCTCTTCATTTAGTACGTCTTTCCAAATTTCATTAAGTTCACTGTTCTCCGCTACTGTTTTGCAAGTACAGAAAATACTTTCTGAGCACACTGACTTAGCAAATAGACCAATTAAAGTGAAGCACAGTAAAGAAGAAAACAAAGGTTATGACCTTGAGCTGTTACAAGGCTCATTAATTCCTCGGCCGCAATATAGGTCAGTGATGGACTGATTCTCGCAACCTGCAGCGTTTTATAAAGAAGCACCATCAACTCAAAATAGTCCAATCTAAATTTTGAAAATTTGAGAAAACTAAGAAATTTAGAGTATTACTTGTTTCCCCAACTTCGAATCAACAACCTCTGCAACTAGATTATGCACCTGCAAAATAGCAATTTAAAGAACCAAGTTATTCCTTCTGAGCTCATTCTTATAACTACTAATTGACATTAAATAAAGAATGTCTCTATGTATATGGTCTAAAAGTGGATATCATTCAGATTTTAGTTAGGTCATATAATATAAAATATATCACCTTAATTCCAAGTTGTTTGCAGATATTTTCTGCTAGTAGGAGAGTATAAGCAGAATTCTTGTCTGCCCTAGATGGATCTGCAGAGAGAATAGCCAATAATCAGTAGCAGGCTATTATCTGCCACAAAAACTGACATGCACCATTACCTCCAAGAAGCCATCTTCTGTCAGATATCACGGCAACTGACAAAGGAATATCTTCACTACCAAGAGATCTCTGGATACTCAGAAGGGTCTGCTTCAAGGTGTCATAGTCCAAAGGATTTCCAATCTACAGAATATGAATGAAGCAAATAATCAAAAAACTAGAAAAACCACAAAAGGGAAATCCTAATACAACAGTGACAAAGTACCCTGTGAGAAATTCGAACATTCTTGAGGTTACATTGACCAGTAACGCTGCAGGCACTAGTCAGGTCATCCACAGGTGCATCTGATAATATTTCCTGCATATCATTTAAGAAATGAATTTTGAACTTAGAATGAGTACATAGATAGTCCAGAAAGCAGAAGTCGGAGTTAACATGCACAATCAAAAACCCTCGACCATTTCCTTTGATATAAATTTTCTGGGGTTCACATTTAGTATCCTTTCAGACCATCAAGGGAGTACATTTTAGGTTAATGCTGACATACATTTCCTTACCATTGAAGTTTCAATTCAATAACAATGTCAAAAAACATTATAGATACTCGGATTTATAGACGTGCCCATGATGACAGTAGCAACGAAATTAAAAGACAGTCAATTGTAAAACTTTCAAGATGTGTGAATAATCAATCAATTATCAGTTTTTCACAAATAACTTTTTCAACTTGTACATTAGTTAGTAGTATAAAACATATTTGTATTAGCAATCAGGAATTAAAGCTTCTATGCCTTTCGGCCATAAGTTCATATGGAAGTCATATTAAGTAAATGGCACTCCTCCAGTCCTAAATATAAGACCTATTTTGTAGTATAAAAATAAGTCTTATATTTAGGACTAGCGGGAGTATTTATTAAAGTTCAAGCTTCAATACTGGCATTGAAAATTGCATATGGTTTTAAATCAAGAAATCATGCAACACTGGAAGTAAACGCCAATGGAATTAATAAGTTCATCATTGTATATGAGATCATACCACAACACTCCCCGGACCAAGATAGTTATCATACTCTTCAATCATATCTATAGCATCAGGGCGCCACCCAAGCAAAAGAATGCACTCTTTCGGTCCCAGATTTTCATCTGATGCCTACATGATGATCAGTAATATATGCAAAGATCTTGAACAAATGGCACTCAACATCAATCAGAACATTTTCCAATTTAGTTGTCCTACCTTGGAACCTGATCTTTTAGGACGCTTTACAATATTAGCTAGTCTCATTTTACTCAATTGTATAGCATGCTCGACATCTTCTTCTTGAATTTCTTGGTCATGAATTCCTTCTTTCTTGTGTGGGTATGCGTGTGCCTCCTTTGTATCACGAAGGGATCCAATCATTAAAACCTAAATGAGGGAGGCTTAGTGACATCAGAAAGTAGAATATTTCAGCAAACCTTCTGAAATACACAGATTTCAAAAAGAAACAGAAAAAATTTAAGAGCATATCTTTTTTATATCGAAGTAATAACTTGCTAGAGAAACTTCAAATCCAAATGGAATATAAATTAGATTTAGTTATAAGCTCGTCTACATACTTTATCAGTTTTCTGCAGGATTTCATTATCATTTGGGTGGAAGTCTATCCTTTCATTCCGATAAAGACCGCAGACAACTGCCTGAAATGATATGAATAGAGAGATAATTTATGAGAGTAAATTTACGTAAGCAATAAATGGTGGATTTACCCAAAAATTACATTACCTACCACTTGAAATGCATGTCTTACTTTCCTGTAGGTCATTCCTTCTAGGTTGGGTAAGCTGCAAAGATTAAATACATTTTCTGAAAACAGCAAAAGTAATAATGGTTAAATCTCAGGGACATGTAAAATTTGAATGTGAGGCTAATAAAGGAAATAACAAGCCAGTTTCAAATCTACGGTCATCAAATAGAGAAATGTTTCAATTACCTCACCTTAGCCTAGCCATAACAAGACATTTAACATAATTAAAGCCAAATGGAAAGATTAGAAAGGAAAGTTTATTATGAAAACTTACATAAAAAATTACTAAACTTCAATGAAATGGCACATTGAGCAGCCATAGTCCACATTATCAGAAGACAATTTGATCCTTTTAGTAGTATTCTCATTAAGGTAGAGAATAAACCATATATAAAACATTGCCCCAGAAAAATTCAAATATTAGGTCAAAGAAGGAATGCGGGCAAATACGATATGCAGAAAGTACGCAATACTTCGATAGTTTAGCAAGTGTCTGTAGATCTTTGCAAGCGCCCTCTGTCGAGAGCACTGGACAAATAATTTGGATGCAACATTTTCTACTGGCTGTACTTTCAATCCTGACATAGATTTTAAGAGCTCACATGTCTTGGAACATGAAACCTGCATTCATTAAGACAAATTCTTACATTTCTCCACAGCATTTGAATTTTATATTCTTCATTTCATTTCAAGCTGAATGTACGCAACATACTTCAACTATGGTGGGGACAGAATCCATTTTTGGAATTTGCTGAAGGGCTAAAACAGATAGAAAAGCATCTGTGTCAACTTCATACCTAGGAAATTAAAGACATGAAATCAATAAACTTCACTAAACTGAAATTCAGAATATTAATGAAAGACATCAAAGAGTACAAGCCCAGGCAATGGAGGAAAACGAAAGACTTGATGCCCCGAAGACTCAAAAAACACAAGACCAAACAATTATAATATGAAAAAAATGATAACCAGACTAAAACCAAGTATGCCAAGCCCAGTTATTTTTCAAAAATGAGCATTAGAAGTATTAAGAAAAATAAAGGGTATATAAAGTTGGGGCAACCTAACCAAGTAGCTCAAGCTACTTTGGCGAGCTGGACAAGCCCATGTGAAAGTAAACATTACAGAAATGGGATCACTTGTTTGGCACTCTCAAAGAACAACTTTGACCACTCAACTAGGGTATTTGTTTCTATAATCTGTCCAAAGGCTTTTGAGGTAAGGAGGGCAAGGTGCGGTGTAGTTTAAGCATAGCATGAGCGCTTCCATCAGAGATTTGTACCTACATGTTTTATGTGGGGCTTCTTCTTAGGTTTTGGTCAGTTTTAGTTCGCGGCTATTTTTAATAGGTGTTTTATCACATATTCAAACAGATAGGAAAACTATCTTGAGCCGTTATTTGTCATAATTACTCTAGTTCTCCTGGATCCTCCTGCTCTTTAATTATATCCTAAATCAATATAGTCTTCTACTGAAAAGACAAAAAGATACCACAAGTAGTATTTGTCAAATCTGTTATGAAAATAAATTCTAACCAAAACCTCCATAACACCTATTAAAATCCTGATCACTGTGCCTAAAATAATTAGTAACTACAATTAATATCGTTGATGTTCTCAATGCATTTTCATGAAAAACTATTATAACTCCCTAACATACTAGCAAGGATTTATGAAAGAACTGGTAAATTCAATTGAACTTGCCTGGAACCGCCTTTATCAGTTTGCATTTTAAGCAGATCAACTATTACCTGTCCCCTTTTGTTGGCAGTATAATTATTGCACGAGCCTTGTTGGCCGCTGCTCTTTCATATGATTCCGTCAAACTAAGGCTGCCACTGCAGAGCCATAAAATTTAGATACGAGCCATAATAAACCTTGAATTGAAAATCATGGTTCGCTTTCAATTTCGCTTTTACCAGGGTTTTTCATGTAGCACATAAAAACAACTAACCAACAGAACAATCAGTGACTCTTAAAAAATGCAAAATTGTAAACTGTTAATGAAAATAAAACGGAAGTTGTCATCAATGTTTCCTTATTAAACAACAGGAAATAGGAAGGTATCCAAGCATTCATGCCTTTTTGTAAGGACGTCAATGTGATTTAAATCTTTCACCATTGGCTCAGCTATTTGATCAATCTGTTTTCTAGGAAGATCAGACATAAGAAGGATTCTCTGCTTCCTGAAACGGAGTCAATCAGAGTACTACAAAGTCAGCATTTTGAACACAAGTTAGTGCAACAACCTTAAGTGAACTGCTTACCTCGCTCTAACAGTGCCTAAGCGGACCGCAAATTCATGATACTTGTTTAGCTGCTTTAATATGAAAGGCAGATGGCTATTCATACCACAAATGATGATATGGTCAGTCTCCAAAACTTGTACTTGGACCCCCTCTCTTAGTCTTTGCATATTAATCTGCTTTAAAGACTGATAATTAAAAGACTTGTGCAGAAAATAATTATTTTTGTCTACACAAATGGAAAATAATTCTTATTGAACGCCTACTGCTTTGGAACTTACCCTAACTTGTTCGGTCATTGTACTGAGCAGGCGAGTGTAAAACAGTATACCCCATATGGCAAGAATAAATCCAAGAGCACGCTCAACACGTGTTGATTTCTGCTGTCCAGCAAGAAAATCTGTTCTTCAGTAATGGTCAATGCATATAAACAGCATAGGGGCCCACGAATCAAATTTTTTTTTTAAAAAAAAGGTATGAAATTTACGAGAATTCCAACATACTCCTAAATGACTTGATGATGAAACAAGGCATGACCAGGCATCCCAGAAGCACTCCTCTAATGACTGTTTCTGACCCCTGAATGATTTAACATGGGTCAAGGTTATGAAACACGGTCAACCGCACTTGCAGGGAAACTAAACAGTTGGCTACCACAATTTAAGGTTGTTATATCTAAAATTTGGCACAAAAGATTAAAAAAAAAAAAAAGTGCTAAAATTTCTAAGGGTGATCAGATATGTCCTGACATATTGGAGTAACTGAAAGGTACACTGTATTTTCTATAGGATATAGAGGGTAGGGAAATGAGGACATTATGCCACTTCCACTGTTAAATATGAAAATCATGAGGAATAAACACACTTCAGAAAGTGCACATCAACGATTACCTGAATTTGAAAAACAGGAGACCACCAACAAAAACAAATGATGAACATGCTACAAGGAGCGCCACAAAGATCCTGAAAGAGTCCATATAGGATAAAGCATATTAGTTCTATGGTCAAGTTGACACAGTTTATCAAAATTGTTCAGATAAATTCAGTTCAATCAGCAATATAAGATCAGAATTACCAAGCCAACCCCTCCCCAAGAATACAGAAAATGAGTAAGGCAAGAAAACATTTTCTTAGCCTAATCCTTGCCATGTCTGAATAAATCCATCGAGTAAATTCTGTTCTTTAGGAGTTGTTTGGCAAACTTGGAGAGAAGTGGGATGTGTGGGGTTTGAGTTATCACAAAGTCTCTCCATTATTTGGAATCTCAATGAGAAAGGAATGGAAAATCACTTCCCTTTCTTTAGGAGTTAAAATGCAATGGGATAGGATGGAATTGAAAAGTTAAATTTCCAACATTACCCTTGAGTACACGGTGCTTTGATATAAAGAAGAAAAGACAAGTGGTAGGGTAAATGTTAAATGTAAGAATGAAAGGGCCTCGAACCATTCCTAACCCTCAATTGGGAAAGATTTGGAAATAGGAGCCCCCATGCATCCTTCCAATCAAATAGCTCAGTTTTCTGGTGCACTTGAAAACATGACCCCAAAAAAAAAAAATCATACATTAATGTAAATCATCTTATTTAAAATTGCACGGGAAATATTCATCCCTAACAAAGTTTAACATTTCTCTTTAAATACAATAAATCCCATAAACACGCTACGTATCAGAAAGCCTACCGATATATCTTGCAACAAGTCACAATTTAATTGTACTCATGTTTCATAAAATAAACCAAAAGACAATTTTGTCATCTGACATAACCAACAATGCAAAAATGCATAAGCATAGTTCCCAAACACTGCTTTTCTCTCACGAAACAAAAAAACGTTGGTTTTCCACATACTACTTATTATAGATCAAGCATAATCAATTTAACAGAAAACCATAGATAAACGTGTGATGAAGTAACTGAATGAAGTGAATATAGGCTTACGTGCCAACATTTCTCTCAAGTTGGGTATTGAACAAGTATATCAATCGTGTCAGGCTCCATTGAATATCACTAACAGAAGGGAAGGAGACATTTAACCAGAGAGGGCTGGATTTATTCAAGGTATTAGAGATGCAAGCAAGAGGCAAGCTTGCTGCTGTAAGAGTTTGAAGCATCTCTGGAAGCATTACTTGAACGACTTTCAACATCCGGTGAAAAAACATTTGATGTGTCACTCTATGTATGAAGTACAATGACAAAGATTGTATCATGCTTTCAGTCCATGGGCCCTGCACATGTGGCAGATTGAGAGAATAAGCAAACGACAACTATCAAAAGCAGAAGATAATCCAATAAGCCAATTCTATTGTCATATATACTCCTGAATGCAAGAGACTGAGCTGTGAACTACTTTTATCAAAGTGATCAATAACATAATATATTGTTAAGAGACAAATGAATTATGGCGAGCATTTAAACCATTTCTCGTAGGAAAAAAATAATGGAACAGATAAACAAAGTATACAGAATCTGAAATACCATTGCTCCAAGGACCACAAGTTCTAAGAACATTTTGGTAGATAAGTCAAACCTATCACAAAGTGCTTCTGGTTGAAAGAGATATTTAATAATTTTAACTTTTTGTATGAGTCAAAAAGAAGCGAAACCTGGTCCATCACCACCAATTTAGCATCCAAAATGGGCATGTGTATGGGTTTGTTCATTTCACTAAATAGCTTAAATTGCTTCGTTTTTCGAACACTTTTGAATGTGAGACCCCTTTCGAGACTTATCTCCAACATTCCCCCCTCATATGTAACTGACCCCCCCCGGGGGGGGGGGGGAGTGCAGTTATCATTTTCCTAAGCATTTGGGTCTTGTTCTTTATTTTCCAATCTTGGATTTGCAACTTCCATTTATTATCCCATCATTCATTTAGTTGATCTAGCCTTCAAACGTCTGGCTGAATTCTTCCTGAACTTGAGTTCTTTGAGTCTCAACAGCCTTATCCACAACCTTCATTTTTCTCCATCACTTGGGCTTGTGCTCTTGAACTTTCTTACATATAATGTGATTCAAATCACTTTTTCCTTCTTGAACATATTTTTCTCATCGTGGATCAGATTAAGAAAATGACACAGCACGTCATTACCAGAACTCTTCAGTGAATCAAAAGGGAAAACGAATGCATGTAAGAAAATATTTTTCATACAGTATTTCTTAGCTGAGGAAACCAGCATTATCAAATGCCAATGAAGAGAAAATATAAAAGGCCATTCAATGATTATACTGCACAGACTCATCATATCACTTTGCCTCAACCTTAGGAATATGCCAAAATCAACGTAAGAAATGTCATGTAAAGATTTTATTAAAGAGTTGGCGCTGCACATGGCGTTTGACTGCATATTTGGAGAAGATGCTACAAAATTTTGATTCTGGCATGAAGTGAAGGACATGTTTAGATCATAATTTCTCATAACATTATATGCGTTTAGCCTCACAAAAAATATATACGTTTTTCAGGACCTTCTACTCATTGCTGACCTGATTAATAATAGTATTTATGTTCTCCGTCATAGTGAACTTGGCGTCCATACTTTCTGGAACACTAACATTTGTGTTTGAATCTGATTTATTTTCTGATCGGCAAGATTGGGCCTGCCATCTACCTACAAGGATTCATCATAGATAGTTCAATCTTCAACGTTAGCAGAAAAATAACAAAGATACGGTTTAACTTTTAGGCTAGAGCAGTTTAAATCTTTCCACATAATTTATTTCAAAGTGAACGGGAAAGAGCGTATCATGGGGGACAAAGAGACAGACCAGAAAAGTCAATTCAATGCCCACCAAAACACAAGGAAGAGAATAGAATACAAGAGTTGATTAGACAATAAAATTAAGAATTCCAGTGACGAAACTAATTTTTTTTACTCGGTTTAAAACTTTCAATCATGGGTGACTGAGCGAGCATAGATATTCATGAAGAAGCTTAACACTAAAATTGATTGACCTCAAGGTCTTCAAGTTCAATAATTTTTAGATAAAAACTGAAAAAGAAAACTCAAGCTTCTTTTTCTTTTCTTTTTTTTGCCCTTTTGGCAGATGGAGCTCACCTTCACTGTTTTCTTTAAGATAATGTGCACGTAATGTTGAAGATTTGAACAAGCCATATCTGTAGGGCATCAATCTCCTGTAAAGTCACATTGATGTCAATCTCACAGCACCCAAAAAATAAATATAATGTCTTCTAATCCATAGAAGTTGTAATATCCCGTTCAATACCACCTAAATGACAACCAGCTTATTCATCAAACAGAGCAGCAATAAATTAGAGGTCACAACAGGCGCCTGCCTTAAGCCTTTCTTAAGGAGGTTCTGAGTTCGAACCTTAGGTATAATAAATGCGCAAGTTAGTAAGGAAAAAGGCAATTCCGCTAATGTATTCATTCAGGTGCAATTTGGACCATGAGACATGAGTAATGCAAGATTGACCCTGTTTTGACTGTTAGTTTACCCATATGCTGAGGTGGCATGCCATGTGGCATCCACCTCACTTTCTTCGATTGTCGAAGAATCAGAGCAATTCAAGTTTTCAGTGTCCTTGTTGGAGTGGAGGGGATTCAAGTTTTCAGTGTCCTTGCTGGAGTGGAGGGGATAAAAACTAAGGGCCTGTTTGTTTTTGTTTTTTTTTTTAATTCTCAAAACAATTTTATAAAATTATTTTTAAAAACAAGTTTTGGAAACAAAAAAAATTGTTTGGAAAATAATTTATAAAAAATCATATTTAAAAAAATATAAAAAATTACACTTTAACAAGTAGTAGTTATCATCGATAGTGATAAATAGTAGGTAATAAGGAGAAGAGAAGAAGATTTCTCCAGTTTTTCAAACAAAAAAAAAAAAGAGCAAACATATAAAAGTTGTTTTGATTTTTTAGTTTTTAAAAACATATTTTTGTTTTTTTCTTTAAAACAATCAACTAGAAACAAATTACTAAATAAATTTTTTTATAAATTTTTTTATTTTTCTGTTTTTAAAAAACAAAAAATTGTTTTAAGCTCTAAACTTTTCCCTCCTCTCCTCTTTCGTCCTTCCCATCCGTCCGATATTTATCCGCGTCTTTTACAAAAGTACGAGAACTGAAACATTAACCCTCTGCTACTAATCCTTACAGCTTCCTCTCTTATTCAACATAGGCTGTCCCGAACTACGAAACAGATGAAAACAAATACTCGTATAAAAAAATTGAGAGCTGAAAAGTTGGAAGCAGAAACATGAGCTTAAAAGACAGGTAGCTAGAGAGAGCGAGATAACAGAGAGGTAGGGAGTAAGAAGCTCTCCATAGAAGCTTTGGAATTTTGCAAATTTCACAAGATTCTGTCGAGATAAAGACGATTAAGAAGTGGTCGGAAATGAAGACCTTAAGCTCGCCTCTCCTGCTCTTATTTCTAGCCCACACACAACACCAATGCAAACAGAGGAAAACAGAGAGGCGAAGCCAATGGAAGTTGATCAAGACCTGCGAGAGCTAGTTACCACACTCGAGGGCGAAGTCGGAGAGCCGGCAGCAGAGGTTGGGGATTGAAGATTTCCAACGGGAGGTGTTTCTTAGGATTCCGTTTCTGGGAACAGCTTCGATTCTTGACGAAAAAAGTCAATGAGAGAAGAGGGGAAGCCGGTTTCGGTGAGAAGAAACCGACCATGTTTGGGAGACTGAATGTCGGCGATAATCTGGGAGATGCAAGTGATCTTGGTCTTCTTCCATGGAAGAAGCATGTTGAAGAACAAGAAGAGAAAACAAGAGAATGCAAGAATGATAAGCAAACCCGTTCACTCATTTGCTCATCACGGTACTATTAACGCAGCCGGGCCCAGCTGCGCACCAAGATGATCCCTCCACATTCGGATTAGAATTATCTAAACATATAATATTAACTGGGTTTCATAAAATATTAAAATTGACTTCATTTTAATTTTAATTTTAATTTTTAAAAATTTAAAATCAGGGGTTTTAGTCAAGAACGAAAACCACTGTTTTAGAAATCAAAAAATTTTAGGTAATTAAAATTAACTCAATTTTTAAGATCAAAATTATAATTTCAAATTTCGAGAATTAAATTTTAGTGATTAAAAATGGTATTATTCAAATTAATTTTATAAGAATAATTGATTTAAAAAGTTTTTAAATATTTTAAAATACATCTTTTTATTTCGTCAAAAATAATATTTTTTTAAATTTTCAAATTAAATTACATTTTTATTAAAAACATATTTTTTATATTTTTTATAAAAATTATATAACTAGACTAAACCCAAAAATGGTAAATATAAAATATATAAACATACAATTTATTTTTTGTAATTAATTTATTAATAAAAATGATAATTTAATAAAGAAAATGAGAAATCAAACATAGAATGAAATTCGTAATACAAAAAAAGGTTATATTAAAATGAAGTGTAAGAATACAATTTTATTATTTAAATTAAATTTAAAATCTCAAGCTCATCCGTTATGGTTGATTAGAACTACTAGGCTTCCTTTGTAAAAGTTAAAACTACTCTTTTGTTTTTTAATATAAGACTTATTTAATTAATTATTGATTAGATTAAAAAAAGCAGGTAAATAAGTTAATTATAAAAAATATGATATATTTTTTTCCAAAACATCATAATATCTTTTTTAATATCTTCTCTCCTTCTCTTATTTGATTATAGTTGATAAAATATTCATAAAAATAATTCAGAAAAAAATTAATAAATATAAAAATAATTCAGACATTTGGAATTAAAATCAATCCAACAGCTAAGTTTTATACTAAGGTAATTTGAATTTTCCTATAGTGGGAGCAACATTCCTAATTTTGGGGCAGTGAAGTTACAAGGCATATTCCTCTCCTTCAATTCAAACCACACGAAGCTTTGAGGCTATTATCACTGTTGATCAAAGTAGTCAACTGCTATGACCTACCAAAAATCTCTAATAATCTCTTGATCCCACGTGGATACTCCCCCCAAAAGAACAGCCACATACCAATTATTTTTCTAATTCCAATTCCAATATATTTTATCAGAAAGCCTTGCTAACCTTGTCTTTAGAATTTAACAACTCTTCAATTGTATTTTTATTTAATATGTATTTTTAAAAAGATAACTCACATGATAAATAAATAAACAATAAAATAGTAATCCTCCGGTCTTTAATATAGGACTCAATTATTGAGTTGGTTTTGGTCCTAAATATAAGACCCATTTCTCATATTTATCAATTTTCTCTAAATTACCCTTATGGATACTCCCTCAACTATAATCAAGTAGAAGAGGAAGATGAGGTATTAAGAAAGATGATTATGGTGTTTCAGGAAAAACACATCACATTTCTCATAATTAACTAACTTACCTAATTTCCTTAATCTAATCAAATTAGTTAAATAGGTTTTCTATTAAGGACAGGAGGAGGAGTATAATCATGTTAAAAATTTAACGAGTAAGCTATAAATTAAAAAAAAAAAAAAACTTATCTCGACTTCATAGGCCGGACCGGGGAAGTTTAAACTTTTGAGAAGGTACCTATTGGTATGAATTGATGAGGAGAATGGATGAGGGGTTCCTGGAAGTCGAGAAGGAAGACGCCATGGCTGTGCACTGTGCAACTTATGAGCGAGAGTCATCGAGCCTTCGTCCTCCTTCTTCTTCGTCTTCCTCCTTATGCGTTCCCAGAAAGAAGCGAGAGAGAGAGAGAGAGAGAGAGAGAGAGAGATTTCAGAGCAGCAGAAGGAAGCGATGGAAATGGCGGAGAGGTGGATATTGTATGGGGGAATTATGAGTGTGAGCTAAAGGAACAAAACGACAAGGGAATAGGACGTGAAAGTGAAGATGTGGAAGACAGAGAACTATGCAGAGGAGCCACTGCCAGCGACATCTACAGAGGTCCCTACAACTACAAAGGGAGTCCGTGTGGGTGTGGGTGTATATACACACACACACACACATATATATATGCTCTGTGACTGTGTGTTGTAAACGATAAGTCAATAACAGGCTCGATGTGCTCTCCTCTCTCTCTCTCTCTGTAGCTGGACCACCACACCAGCTCACCATCGTAACTTGAGCGGGTGGGTCTCTGCGAACAAGACGAACCAGATAATTCGCCGCTAGTGACCGTTGTCATATATTCTTAACATAATTTTTAATATAGGAAGGAGGTTCAGGGGGAAAAAAAATAATTACTAAAATTTTTTTAATAACAATCTAATCATGAGTTTCAGAATAAAAAATAATAATTTTTAAAATTTATTTTATAATTATTTTTTAAGGCCTTGTTATAATTTTCCCTTTCAATATTTCATTACAAACTTTAAGAACTCATAGAAATGTTTAAAATTATTTTTGAAAAGTTAATCAAAATATCTAAAAACGATTCTAACCAACTTCAGTGGCATGAGTTTTAAGTGGCACTCCCTTGATTGTTTTTATAATGTTCAAATTTGAGTAGATGTGTATTTTATAGAGTTTTTGTTTTTTAGATAATTTTAACTATTTTTTTTTTGTTAAAGAAGCACTTCATATCTGCATCCTAGTCTAACACTAAGAACTAGATTAGATAGCTAGTTTTCAATAATTTAAAGAAATTATTTGAATTAATTGTTTATAATAAATTTATGCTGGTTCTCTAATAATTCTAAAAATGAAGCCAGCAACATTCAAAGCATATTTCTAAAGAAGACAGAGGGCAAATGTGAGATTCAAACCCCACCTTCAATTTGCTTCTCTTGCATTATTATGATGCATCACCCTTCGCTCTATCTCTAAATCATTATTGAATTTTTTTTGCCAACAATTATTGAAATGCTTTTATATCATTATGTTTGTTATCTTAGAAATATGATTAAAAAATAAAAAATATTAATTGACCCACTCATCCTCTGATTAAAATATGAATTATAAGCAAACTTCTTTTAATAAGCTCCAAATAAAATACAAGAGCCTCTTTCTTCTCTATGCATAGGGGAAAAAAAAAACTGGTAGGAGGAATATATCACTAGTACAAAAAGCGGCTTCAAAACCAATTAGAATAACTTTGTAAACTGGTTTTTAAGCGTGATAAGAACGATTTAGGGAGGTGAAAACAATGAGTTCATAAAAGGGTAAAATCACATCCAATATTTTAATGTTATTTTAATGATGCATCTAATACTCTAATATCATTTTCTTAAGTTACATCTAGTTTCCTTATTTTTGTTGGAAGCACAAAAACATAACATCAATATGCTGAATGTACATTAAAAATAATATCAGGATTTTTCTTTTGAATGTGAAAAGCTTAAGTGAGTTGGGTTCTAAGGGTTTACTAGAGTCAGAACATGCTTCTAAATTCAAAGAACGGTTACAGCAAAGGTAATCACAAATCACTTACCAACAAGCATTCTCATCTTATACCAATAAAAATTAATACAATTAGTAAGAAATCGACTCATAATCTATAATATTGTGATAATTCGAATCTCCTTTGAAAAAATGGTTAAAGCTTTAAATATCCATGAGACTAGAAAAAACCAATTTGGTTGCTTTTCTGTATTTTGTAAAAAATAAGAACGATAAACTTCTTTTTGGAAAAACATTTTGAATGACTAGGTTTATTTCTTGTAAAAACAAAAGATCTCTTGATAAGAATAACTTAAAACACAGAAGATAAAAATACATAAACTCTATATTTTCTCTTATAATCAGGATGCAATATAATATTAATGGCATGTACAATAATCTTTATTTAAGTTTTGTTATCATCAAAGTAAAATGATTCAATAATTAATAATTTATCACCATTCAATTCACGGGGTATTTTAAATCATGTAAATGTACCAGCCGAGATGCCTTTAAAGGGTAACTCTCAACTTTGTTTAAACTTTTAATATTTTTTTGAATTAAAATCAGCTGCTTGGGATATTTGTCAAAAAATGAAAGAATAAAGAAGTGATAGATATATTAGTATCTGAGGCCAACCCAAATCATTGACACAACTTTACTACTCCTATTTATTACTATTACTATACCACGTACTCCAATTCTTTTCTTAAATCATTTAGAGGAAGAATTTTTTTTTTTTGATATAAGTTACTTATATAATACTACTTAAAAGAAAAAATGACAAAAAAGATCATAAAAATTATAAAATTTCAAATCAGATATTCATGTAAAAATGTGTTGTTATTTGAAAATCAAGCGTTGTCAAAACCTCCTAATTTGATATTTAATAATTTTCAAGGTCTTTATTTGTTATTCCTCTTATTTAATAAAAGTTCTCATGGATAGCTGGCCAAACAAAATACTGATAAAATCGTAGTTGAACTGTTTATAAATGAATTAATATATTTTTAATTATTTTTATCAATTATTCATGTAAAAATTATAATAACAATTATAAAAACTGAAAATATAATACAAGTACAATGAAAAATAGCATAGGTAATAAAAAATGCATTTTTTTAAATATTAATTTAAAAACGAAAAGAGAAAATATTATAAATAAATATATAATTTAAAGAAATTATAAATTTCAATCAATATTTTATGCTTAACGAGAAACTGATATAACAAAAGCAATACTCCTCTTATCCTATTTATATAAGATTTAAGGGTTTTTTTTGGGTTTCAATGAAAAATATTATAAGTGACTTGTAAATAAGAATAAAATATATATAATTAATAGTGATAATTGATAATTAAGATTAATGAGTGATGAGAGATGTGCTTGATGGATGCATCATATCAATACTTCCGATGCCTAGAAGAAAGTAACAGGCAACATGAAAATGTGTATTAATTTTTGTAATTGGAAAAAATGAAATTAGAGAAATTCAAGGATTCTGTTTTTTGAAGGAGACAAAACGACAGGTCATATTCAACCTAACCTTTCAATTGTTTTTGTCCTTTTGGCTTTTATTATTGCCGATTTCTCTTATCCCTATCTCTCTAAATAATTATAGAAATACTACATTTATATTATCATGTTTGTTATCATAGAAATAAGATTAAAAAATATAAAAAAATTAATTGATTTGACTCGGTCACTAAAATATGAACTATGAAAAAAAGAAAACCCCTCTTCTAGAAAAACCCCAAATAAAATATTAGAATTTCGTTCTTCTACCAACAAACTGTTAGTTAATATAGTCAGTAGTTTTACCCCGTAAGAAAGAAAATACAAGTTCAAAATTTGAAAAGTGTATTTATGGGAAGGATTTTAATCTTAATATTATCAGATCGACAGAAATTAGTCTCATCAAGTCCAAAGTGACTTGAGGAGACCCTGACGTATATAAAAAAAAAAATGGAGTTCTTTCTTCTATACATAGGGAAAAAATGAATGGCAGAAGGAATGCATTTCTTGCATGCCAAACACCCTAATAAGACTTTTTTTTTTTCATTACATTTGGTTACTAATTATTTATTCATTATCAATCATCAATTATTTGTAATAATTTATCATTAATGGATTCATATGATATTTTAAAGGCTAAATTATCTATAACTCCCTAAATTGTAAACCATGTATAGATGATTTCTCTAATTTTTGAAACTTTACAATAAGGCCCGCCTAAACTCTTATGCAAATAAATCTCGTAAGACAATATCGTCACACAGCTTAAAGTTTAGATGTTTGTCTACATAGTAATCAAAATTTGAGGATAATATATGTACATAAAAATAGAGCCTAAAGAAATATAATTCATAATTTTGAAATTATCTGCATATACTTAAAAGGCATGTAAGCTTTGTCATATTAAGTTTTAAATATTAATAGAATTAATTTTGTATGATTCGAAATTCTGAAAATTTTGTGTAATTCAACCTTTTCTAAATCATGTGAATGTACGAGCATGATAGATTTAAAAGGTCACTTTTAACTTTGTTTCAACTGTTTTCTTTTATTGGCAAGAGCATGTTTTCTTAGAGTGAAGTCAGTTGTTTGGATATTTGTCAAATAAAGAAACAAAGAAGTTGGTATATATCATGACGCCCATCCAATCATTGACACAACTTTACGATTTTATGACATGTTTTAATGACTGGTCACTAAGGCTCCACAGAGCTAATTGGAATTTGAAAGTTGGATTTGATTTTAAATATAAAATTTTAATATACCTTTTTTTTTTGTAGTTATTATTTTTTAAAAATAATTTACTTATTTTATAAACTAATGTACTCCTACTAGTAACTAATATATGAGTTAGTTGATAATGTAGGGTCTGATAATAAATATAAGAACTAAATTCATTTTATTTCTCATATTTATATATTTTCTAAACTAATTTACTTATCGTATAAAAACATATATAATTTAATATTGTATATGAGTATTTTAAAAATATCACGTCATATTTGTTATGATTAATTATTTATTTACTTTTATTAATTTATTTAAATTAGTTAAATTGTTCTTATTAGACGAAATATAATCTATTGTTACCCACAATAAATATTTTAAGAAAAACCATGTCATTTTTTTTATAATTAACTAATTTATCTGAATTTTTAAATCTAATTAAATTAATTGTTTATTTTATCTCTCATATTTATATGTTTCCCAAACTAATTTATTTATCTTATAAAAATATACAATTTAATATTATCTATGGGTATTTTAAGAACATCATATCATATTTGTTATAATTAATTATTTATTTAACTTGACTAATTTATTTAAATTAGTCAAATAGATCCTATTAGACAGAGTATAATCTATTGTTACATGCACAAGTATTTTAAGAAAACTTATATCACATTATCTATAATTAACTAATTTATTTGACTTTCTTGATCTAATTAAATTAATTAAATAACTTTTATAATATAGGAAACAAGAAATATTTAAGCATTTTAAAAATTCAAACCTCACTAGCCCCCGCTACCCCCTCT